GAGCCACACTTCAATTTTTCATTTTTTCTCTAAGAGCATACTCACAAATCATTCTAACAGAGGGTAAATTCTCTCGTGCATAAGAAACATTTTCTATTATATATTAATTTATAAATAGCTGATCAACACCGCAGAAACTTTCAGGTACTCAGGAGCTAGCAGCAGAAAATGAAAATGATAGCTGGTGAAGAACCAGTCCACAGGGAGACTAACACTTGTAGTGAGTAAGATTAGAAAAATGTATCTTCTTTAGGATCAATGTCAATATGTTTTCCTCTTCCTGACCTCCATTTTCCATCCTCTCTGCCACCAGCTACAGCTGTTGACAGCCCCTGGGCTAAAGATGGCTTAAAGCTGCAAGTGGACAAGGAGCTTGTGCCAGAGAGCATTGGGGAAGATAAGAAGCTCTAATTGACTGATGAATTAATGGCAATTAAGATTAATGAACCTTTATGGAATAAGAGAGACTGGAGCACCTAGTCTGGGTCAATAGAATGACTGTGGATAATTGCTTCTTTGCTAATTGTAGCTGTAATGTGTCTGGCCATCATATGCAGAAATCTTATGTTCTAATGGATAGAGATCTGTATGATGAGTTAATTCCTCTTTGGTGGTAGTGTTAATAATTTAGCACCATTACAGTTAATAATTTATCATTGTTTACTGCAAAGTGATCATATGCAGGCACATCTTGATATCATAACTGGCATTTCCCTGAAGAATATAGCAGGATTCACTCTCAGGGCTGTACAATTGTCATGGTATATGGAGTGTAAAGAGCCATGGCACTTGGCAGTATGCTTCTAGAAGTGATAGTACTGATAACAGGAAGCATTAACCCTAGTGTCTGTAGATAGGGCTGTTTAAAGCTACTTATTTGTCCATTGGTGGACAAGGGAAAGGTGACCAGTGTCATTTACCTGGACTTGAGCAAGGCCTTTGACATGGTTCCCACCACATCCTGATCTCCAAATTGAAGGGATGTGGTTTTGATGGGTGGACCCCTCGATAGATAGGAAACCGGTTGAAAGGCCGCAGACAGAGGGTGGTCATCAATGGCTCTATGTCCAGAGAGAGTGGTGAGGTGCTGGAAGAAGCTGCCCAGAGAGCTTGTGGATGCCCCATCCCTAGAGGTGTTCAAGGCCAGATTGGATGGGGCCCTACGCAACCTGGTCTAGTATTAAATGAGGAGGTTAGTGGCCCTGCATGTGGCAGGGGAAAGGGCTCTTTTTAATGTGAATTAAAGTCTGATTCATTGCTTCTGGTGCAAATAAACAGTTCTCAGGATTTTGATAGGCATTTAGTGAAAGCTTGTGAGAAATATGAATGCTTCACACTTCCCCAGTAAAACTGTGAAGTCCAGAGAATAGCAATGTCAAAAAATTAATAAATTAAACTCAGTTAAGAAAAGTTATAGGAAATTTTTGATTATTTGTTGTTTTGTTTGTTTGCTGTCTAGAGTGGACAGACAGCACTTACCAAAGCAGCATTAAAATTTCAGAAGTATTATAAAGTGGAATGGAAGGAATTGTTCTTCCTATTTGCTGTGATTAGGAAAGGGGTGACAGGTCCAATGTGTCTCAAGGGCAGTTTAAGTTAGTCTGAAAGTCTTCATGTTTGCTTTTAGAAATTATCAATGAAGTGACAAAACTCAAACATCTGTCAAGAATGATAGATGGAAAGAGGATAAACAGGAGCTGTGACTGTGGAGTGGACAAAGCAATGGATCTTTGGACTTCAGTGCTCATAGGGGGATGCTGGACAACAAAATTTTTTATTCTGATCATATCCTATGCAATCTAAACTTTTCACAAATTGCATGGAATTGAGTGAAAATGTTTATAAAATGCAATTTAAATAGGGCTATAGAAGGGAGTAAGTCAATATGAATAGCTTTGGTTATGTATAGGATATGATATTAATAGTATTATACATTTTGTGTGTAATAACTTGATTCTGTAGCCTCCTTTCCCTCCTCTATGGAAGTCCAGCTATCTGTAACCCAAGATATGCTGCATAACCCTCTCAGAATTCTGAGGAAATCACCAGAATCTGTGAAAGAGCTGCAAAAAAAAAGTTAATAGAGTTAATAGAGTGGAATCCTTCAAGATAAGAACAGGAAAATCATAGACAAAGGTGAGATTGTTGAGATGGAGATAGGCAGCAATTCAAGGATTCGAGAGGGAAAAAATTATCATGAAAAAGGATAAAATATGAAGGGAAAAACAGGGTTTTGGAAGATGGCAATTCAGCCACATCACAGATCCATTCTAGAGCAATGAAAACTAGCCCTACCCCACCTCACCAAGAACTTCTTGACCAATAAAGAGTTCTTTCATTTTTTATTCAGGGTGTTGATTGTGCTAACACACAGTAGTTAACTTTTGTGTGCAGTAACTAATCAGTAACTGCTGTACATTTTGAAGTTGTGCGTACGCTGTTTTTTGTGCGTGGGAAAAGGGATCCATGCAAAGAGATTCAGTGAGGAAGGCATGAAAATTCAGTCCTTGATTAATTACACTGTTAGGATCTTACTAGCCACATCATTGGCTGGGAAAATAGGAATTATCTTGTGGTTGAGCATATGAAACAGTTTTGGAAGCATGAAATTATTATTTCCTGATTGTGCGACAGTTTTCTTCTTATAGGACAATTCTGATTGATAGAGCAGTGTCCAAGTTGGCAGAATTCCTTTATAGTTCCTGTATAAAGTAGTAATTTTCTCCAGCATGATTATCAGGAGAGAGGATGCTAAAATGGAACATGATACTTTCCTGAGTATTGCAATTCAGAGCTCATTCACAGCTGTTCTAATCTATTCTAGGGCTCAATGCCCTAGAATGTTTATAGAATTTCTGTGACACTCTCCACCATTTCATCTACCTGGAGTATATTAGAAAATCCAAATCTCCATCTTTAAAGGAAAATAAAAAATAATGTGTCCTTTTTTCTTATGATAATGCACAAAGGCTTTGAATTACTTGTTCCAGTTTCTTTTCTTCTTTCCCCTATTTTTACTGATAAACATTTAAAAAGGTTGCATTTCTTGATATTATTACAAAATCTTTCTGAAGAAAATCTTTAAAATGATCTTTAAAAAATCTCTCCAAAAAAAGATAATAGGCCATCACGTGATAGTGTTTTGAATCTGGTTTCAGATTTAGATTAACTTTCTGTGTCAGTTGTCTTTTCCAAATCATATGTTAATTGGGTTTTCCCTTTGCTGGCTTGCACTAGATACAAGGATACATTGCACCAATGTGAAATCTCTGAGATGGGAATCTCTCAACACAACTTCTCTTCTGGAGGTATAAGCAGTTGAAACTTCACCAGAAATCAAAAGACTCATAATTTTTTCATTTTTTTTATTTTTATTTTTTGCTATTCCAGAAGTAAATTGACTATCAATTTACTCATAAAATATTAGACATTTTAATGATAAATGAGGTTTAAATAAATAAATGTAGGTAAGTTAATGTGTGAAATTAACCTGAGATAAACCAATAGTGAGCTTCAATACAGAATCATCTGGGTTTCCCAAATATCTGCAGTCAAAAAATTGCTATAATACGAAGAATGTTACTGACAAGACTTGAGAATAATCTGGGCAAATGATCACTTAGAGAAGGATTTAATGCTTATCACAGATTATTGTTACAGTACAATGTGTCATTGCAGCAGTGCGCCCAAGAAAGATGACTGAAATCCTGCATTTATATCATGTTTGAAAATCACAGCCTTAATTTAACCATTATGGGTCTCTCCAGGATATTTCGAGATCTGAATAGTCATCTTTCAAAAACCCCAAAAGTTCATCTGCTCAAAATTCTAGATAATGGTTCATAAATATCATCCAGGACTTGTAAAATGGAAGTGGAAATTCTGTAAAATGGAAAACTTGTAAGTGGAAATCGGCTACTGCCTTAGTAAATAGAGAGTTGAGTAAATCTTGATAATATTTATAAGTATTTTCACATAGAAAAAATATTTGACAATGAAGGTCCCCCCAAAAAAGTAATATCCAGATATTGCATATACAATTGTATGCACATTTTATATATACTATTGTATATACCAGATATGTAGTCTATACAGATATCAGTGTACTGATGTACTTCTCAGGCAGTACTTTTATTTGCTAACCTTTGGCATTTTTTTTTACTTACAGTTGCAAATTACATTTTATAATGTAATCCTCAGTCTGATAAAGTCTTTGCATTCCAAAACATTTTAAAAAGAACTCTTTTTATTTTTTTTAATGTTGAGGTTACAGATAATACATGAATAAAAGGGACAAAACTGATATTATCAGATTAAGTAAGCTTTGTATGAACAAACTGGTATGAAACTTACAGAGAAATTCTTAAAAATGTATTTGTTTTCTACGACAGGGTTTTTTATTTGACTTCTTATACATTTCACGTATGTAGAGGTGTTTAACATATCTATTTTAATAAATGTGCATTCAAAAATCAGAAGAATTCTACCTGAGAAAATTTCTGCTGGCCAGAACTATTTCAAAGCCATTTCTAAAATTGTATCTGTAACTCATCCTGCTATCTTGTTCTGCAATTACTGAAATCAGAAAGAGTACACACTAGCCTAGTTGCTACCAGGACATGTATTGTCAAGTGCCCTTGATCACTTCAGGCGTTATCCTATCAAGGTGTATGAATATCTGAAGGGTGGGTGCAAAGAGGATGGGGCCAGGCTACTATCAGTGGTGCCCAGTGCCAGGACAAGAGGCAGCAGGCACAGACCAGACCACAGGAAGTTTGCCTTGAAGCTGGGAGCAGCCTGTGCTGTGTGGGTACCGGAACAGTGGCACGGGTACCCAGGGGCTGTGTGTGGGTTCACCTTTGGAGATCTTCAGATGCTGTCTTGACACGGCCTGGGTGCCCCTGCTGCAGCAAGGGCTAGGCCACCTGTACTTAAAGGTCTCTACCAACATCAGCCATGCTGTGTCTCTGTAATTCTGTTAATCTGCATTTTCCTTGCAGGTCATATTACTCCCTGAATTAGGATTATAAGAAGGGAAAAGAAAAAAAAAAGATCAGCTCACTCTTTTTGCGTTACTCAGTTTCATTCTCTCTGGGTGCTCAAGAATGGATTTACCTTCCAGTGTCACTGCCACCTGGAACATTCGGCACCATATATGAGAAGGTAAGCAGGGATTTCTGGAAGGTTTAAGGGGCATAATTAAGCAGAGTTGTGAAGAAGTAACTATTCAGATTTATTTTCACAGGTGACTACTTGTTAAATATTCCCTTTAGGAAAGGGAGGCAGGGTCCAAAGTGCACACACTTTACTCCCAGGGTAGATGAGGCAACGAGAGAGGGGAAGGAAAAAAAAAAAAAAAAAAAAAAAAAAATACAAAGCTGTTCATCATCTGTGTTTTGCATAAGAAGAACAAAGTCCACCCATGTTGCTTTTCCTAGTCATATTAATCTGTTGATTTTCAAATGATCTTTCAGAGAGCTAGAAGCAAACTAAGAACGACTTGCACGGTGAGTCAGTGCACTTCTTTTTAAACCTAAGATATTTTATTAAACTCACTAACATCTAAAACTCCAGATAGCTTCATTCTTTTCTAAATAAGCATATACTTTCTCTCTTTTTTTTTTTTTTAATTTATACTGAAGTACAGGGAATATGCTTCTATCATTCAAATGAGATTAAATGAAAGATCCACAGCTATCAAGTAGTTAAAACAAAAAAAGTAGGCATTTGTAAGCAAATTCAAAACACTTCTGCTTCTTTCAACAGGTCTATACTTGCCCTTTGCTAGAATTCACTTGCAAAGTGTGACATTAATAATTTTATTGATTTCAGTAAGTGTATTTTTCTGCCAAACAAGCGGTCATTGAAATTCCTGTCCTTTGCTTAAGAATTGTATGTTTTTCAGTATTATTTTACAGAGAACTATCCTAAATCAATTTAAAATGCATCCTGAAGATGAAAAGCAGAAGTATACTGTCAATGGAAATACATATGAGATCGCTACCTCCATCCGGGATCAAGATCCAGAAGACAAAAAGTAAGTATTCTTATACACTGTAAGCATGTTCTTTATGGAAGCATATAAGATTACATTATCTTAGTTTGTATTTTATTGACTTTCATATTTTAATTTATTTTAATGAGGTAGCCTAAGAGCAGAAAACACAGCTTATGATTAGCATTCATTGACATATTCATTTGGTGCAGAAGGATTATAGAAGCTCTTTTTCTATTAAACACAAATTGTCCACTGGATTGACTATCATTTATTGAAAAGCAATTCCAAAATAAGAGTGAAGTTATAACAGGCATTTGGATATGATATCATCAGATAAAAAATGTATTAAAAGTAAAAGTATGTCAGGGAATTGATGTTTTACATACTTTTAATTTATTCTACTCCCCTTGCATGAGAACATCTGATTCTATAAGTTGTCTTTCTTTTTCTCGTTTTGAAATCTATGTAACACTTCAGTTCACAACTTCCCTGATTGGAAAGGAGAACCATGAGCCCCTCTTGGGGTTGTTGTAGCCTTGAGATGGGAGAACTGTGAAGGCCTTGATTTGAATTTATAGTAGTCAGGAGCTGATGCTACTTACATACCTGGAGGCTTAAATACAAAAATCCAAGAATTCTTAATAAATCAGATTTGTTTTACACAGGTTTGTTCCCCATAAAATCATTTCTTAATTATATTTTGACTGAATAGTATTAATATATTGCATTATTATTTTTATGAAATATTGTTGGGTTTTAAATGCACTAAAACTGTCACATCTATTAAGGAAGAAAAAGAAGAAGAAAGGGGAAAAGCCTAAAAAGGTCAGCCCGTTAGCACTGGTAAGATTTATGCTATACATATATACGTGTACATATTTCTACATGCGTGCACATTTTAAAGTTTAATGTTTTAAATGCTTAAAATAATGTTAAGAGTACAACATATACGGTCTTGTCTCTACCAAACACTATGATATTACAAAATATTGAATATACTGTGGCAACCAAGCAGTTCTCTGGTGGAAGTGATTATATTAAAGAAATGATCCTATTTACGCATGCTTAGAAGCTTTCTCGTGGGCAGTTATCATGCTAAATTTGTGCTCAATTTGTTTTTATTATTAGTTACGATTACCATGTTCTTTTGTTTCTTCCAACTAAATGAAAATGGAGTCCTTATGTCTAAGACTACAAATGTCATCCTGTCCTCTAAATTACCTGAGTCACACTCCAGTCACATATATCTCACCCATTACTCATTGGGCTGTCACAGGAGCTGGCAATAAAGGGTACCATGGCTCACATTACACTTAAAAATCAGACAATAAAAGTTCTTAAAGTTCCAGAAAACTTAAATTTTCTTTATATTTTAAAATAACTTGTTAATGTTTAATCAAAGTAAATCCCAGATGCTCTATTAGTAAACTGAAATATTCTACATTTTGTGGATGTAATGTGTATACAAAGCAAGAATTATATAGAAATTACTATTAATAAAACTATAGCCCAAGGTTTTGGCCAGTGACCCAGTTCTGCTTTGCTGTACCAGTTTGTGCTTGTATAATTGCAATAACAATGTAATTTAAATCATTACAACTAGAATAGTGAAGAATCCATTCAGTGGCTTTCTAGATGCTACATAGAGGGAGGGTCCTTGGGAGAGGGACTTTTCTCTGCTATCCAGAGGTACCTGGACAGGCTCTGAGACACATGCCCATGCCAACTTCATGAAGTTCAACAAGGCCAAGTGCAGTATCCTGCATCTGGGTCAGGATAACCTGAAGCACGGATACAGGTTGGATGGAGAATGGCTTGAGAGCAGCCCTGAGGAGAAGTGTCAGTTGACGAGAGAATTCAAGATGAGCTGGCCGTGTGTGCTTGTAGCTCAGAGGCCAACCGTATCCTGGGTTACATTAAGAGAAGTGTGACCAGCAGGTCTAGGGAGGTGATTCTGCCCCTCTACTCTGCTCTCATGAGACCCCACCTGAAGTACTATCTCCAGTTCTGGAGCTCCCAGCACAAGAAAGATGTGGAGCTGTTGAGCAGGTCCAGAGGAGAGCCATGAGGACGGCGCCTCCCCTATGAGAACAGGCTGAGAAAGCTGGAACTCTACAACCTGGAGAGAAGGCTCCAAGGAGACTTGGTAGTGACCTTCCAGGAGCTGAAAGGGGCCTCTAGGAAAGCTGGGGAGGGGCTTTTTATAAGGGCAGGTAGTGACAGGATGAGAGGAAAAGGCTTTAAACTGGAAAAAGGTAGATTTAGACTAGATACCAGAAAGAAGCTCTTTACAGTGAGAGTGGTGAGACACTGGGGCAGGATGCCCAGTGGGACTGTAGGTGCCTCCTTCCTGGAAGCATTCCAGGTCTGGCTGGATGGGGCCGTGAGCAGCCTGGTCTAGAGGAAGGTGTCCCCACCTGTAGCAGGGAGGTTGGAACTAGATGATCTTCCAGGTCTCTTCCAACCCAAACCATCATTCTATAAAAGAGCTGTTGAGTTAAATAGCAAGAGGTATTTAGGAATTCAGTCAGCTTTGATAATATGTATGGTACGTTAGGAATAATTTTTTTTAACTCTATAATAATGAATTTATGATAAAAAATAATTGCTGCCTTAATTATCACAATGCTGTTAAAATTTTCTATATTCTGAATTTCAAATGACAAAATTCAAGAGAACAAATGGCATTGATTTTATGTGGCCCCTATGCCCTTTGTTGATATCTTGTTATATTGATAAATTTAAATAGTACAGACCTCTGGATTGGAAAGTTCATTATATAGAAGTTCTTCTATTAGAATGATTTATTTCTATACATGTAAGTTGATTTGCAAATTTTTAAAAGTGGATAAAATCAGGTATACAATTCATAGCTTTTTCTTGACTTTCATGGTATTGTAGTCATAATGTGTTAACATTCTAATATCTCAATGAAAATGAATTTCTCTTCTTGTTCACAGTTTCGATACTCCACCTGCACAGACAAATTATTAATGATATTTGGCTCTCTCTTGGCAATAGCCCATGGAAGCAGTCTCCCTATAGCAATGATAATTTTTGGTGACATGACTGATAGTTTTGTTACTTCTGATGAAACAAATTTTACAGGTAAAAATACATCCTGTGCAGAAAACAATGACTCATATTTAGAAAACAGCTGGGGAAATTGAGCATCTTGACTTGTCATATTGATGTCAGCAACATCAACTTGCTAACATACTATGTTGTAAATTAGTAACTGTTCTATTTGATCCAACAGAAAACATACTATCATAAATGAAAGTACTCATTTTTTTTCTTTTTTCAAGAAAAAAAGAATCATTTGCTCAATAGCCTTCCTTGCTAAATCAGAAGTACAAAATAAAAAAGAGTAGGAGGCGTGCACTGAATGATACCAAAATGAGGGGTGATACTTCCACTTTGGTATCAACTCACTCCTGGATCAAATTTGGTTGTCCTCTGAAATCAAATGTTAGATGTTAAACTTGAGAGAACAGTCTTGTTGCTTGGAATATTCAATTAAAAAAAAAAATATATATATATATATATATATTAACCATTTAAATATATTTCTATGGTGATACAGGATAATAACATGTGACTATATTCTGTCAATTTTTTTTTTAATCAATTTTTATTTTTATTATTTTTTATTGTGTAAGACAGAAATATGGCGTGCTGCCTCTTGTTTTTTGGCATTATACAAATGCCCTCTGTTTGCAGAAAGGAAAAGAAAAATAAAGATAATGAATATTGCTGAAAATCATGCGGGGAAATGAATTTGTTTAAACTTGTTCTATCAAAATTATTTACTCTTTTTCCTTTTCTAAGGAAACCTTTCTACACTGAATTCCTCTTCAGAGATGCTTGACAAGCTGGAAGAAGATATGACAAAGTAATTAGAAATTGTTGTTTCCTCTTTTGTTGTTGTTGTTGTTGTTGTTGTAGTTTCTTGTACCACTTCAACTTCTTTTCTTCTGATTGAAACTTACTCCTTATTAGATAACGCAAAACATCTGAGATTTCAGGTAGTCTAATGTGGCCTTCAAGGCAATTGCTTTTTCCTGTGAAAAAATCTTAATTTCTGAACTCATATCATGTCTCACTTAAAAGGAATAGGAACCCTCCCTTCATCTTCAGCAAGCTATTATCTAGGAGTCAAAACATATTAAAGAACTGACAGAGAGTGTAAATGTGAGTATAGAGTTCAGTAACTAAATGCTGAGGAGTACCTGTTCTCATGGCCCAATGGATCCAAGTTGAAGGAGGGAAGATTTAGGTTGGATGTTAGGGGGAAGTTCTTTACTAGGAGAGTGGTTAGGCCCTGGAACGGGCTGCCCAGGGAGGTTGTGGATGCCCCGTCCTTGGACACGTTCAAGGCCAGGTTGGATGGGGTCCTGGGCAACCTGATCTGAATGTGTATGTTTGGTGGCCCTGCCAGGCAGGGGGGTTGGAACTACATGATCCTTGAGGTCCCTTCCAACCCGGGTGATTCTGTGATTCTGTGATTCTGTGGCCCTAAGAGATGGTCTGTATGAGGGAATTATCTGTTAGCATCCTGCATGTTAGACACGGTACTCCAGGAGTTGCCTCACCAGGGCAGAATAGAGGGGGAGGTCACCTCCTTGTGATGCTGGCCGTGCTCTTTTTCATGCACCCCAGGATACCATTGGCCATCTTGGCCACAGGTGAACACTGCTGGCTCATGGCCAACCTCTTGTCCACCAGGACGCCCAGATACTTCTCCACAGAGCTCCTTTCCAGCAGGTCAGCCCCTAATCTGTCCTGCTGCACGCAGTTATTCCTCCCTGGGTGTAGGACTCTGCACTTGCCCCTGTATGGCTTTATAACAGCATAGGTATAAATTCACTTTTCTGAGTTCTGCAAGCTTTCTGAATAGAGCTTTGAATTATGTTCATTAGTTTGAAGAAGAAGCTGTACCCACCTCCTGTGTCTCCGTATGCCTGCCAGCCGGTAAAGTCACAGTAAACACTGTTTACAGGAACAAAGTTCATACACACGTGTATTCAACTGTATGTGCATATTTGGTTATGGCTTTTACTCAGATAATAGTTCACCTGTTTCACAGAAGAAAATGAACAATCAATTTAGAATGCAGTGAGCACATACTTTCTTGTGAGTTTCAGCAGTGAAGTTACAGAATGTCTTTCACTAGTGTGAATGTTGTAAAGATATCAATCCCTTTTCTTATGATTATCATGAAACAAAGTCTAAGCATAAAACCATCCTGTGATGTGATATAATATCATAAAGTAATTATCTGAAGTAATTACTGCTGAGTCTTCCTGCAGTATTATAGATATCATAATTTAGGTAGTTTCTGTGAAGAAGATCAAGGTCAGTATTCAACTAATCAGTCTTCAAATGGGTTAGATATTAACCCATTTTATTAATCAGTTTAGATACAGTTCCTTTCATGATTGTAGTTCCAAAGTCCCTGACTAAAATGTATAGTATTTTAGTCACTGGAAATGGACTAAAATTTGAAAAGTTTCAGTTATAAACCCTTGTTCTTCCCTGAGCAGAGCATTCAAACACAGACTTCTGCCACTAGCTCCTGCCAAGTTTCATGCTACAGTTCTAGAGAACCAGTATGGCTGACTTACTACTTGTGAGTGAAATTCCAAAGGTTTCAAAGCTTTTTTCCCCCCCTCATTATTCTCTTTTGTGTGGATGTGGTTTTTTTATAAATACATGTAATATACACCATGAATATTTAGCAATAATCTTTGGTCAGCAATAATCTTATGTGCAGGAGTCAGTTCAATTAGATTCAGCTACATTCATTTGTATTCAATTACACAGCCCTGCCAAAAAGAACTTGTACTGGTGAATGGCAGTTGGACATAAGCCAGCACTGTGCCTTCGCAGCCCAGAAAGCCAACTGCATCAAAAGAAGCACACCCAGCAGGTCAGGGAGGTGATCCTGCTCCTCTACTCTGCGCTGGAGTACTGTGTCCTGATTTGGAGTCCTTAGTATAGGAGAGATGTGGACCTGTTGGAGCGTGTCCAGGAGAGGGCCACAGAAATAAAGCAAGGATGGAACACCTGCACTATGAGGCTTAGAGAACTGGGGCTGGGCAGCCTGGAGAAGACCCCAAGCTCAAGAGTGAGCCTTTCAGTACCTAAAGGGGGGCTGTATGAAAGAAGGGGATAGATTCTTCAGCACAGTCTGCTGTGACAGGGCAAGGAGAGATGGTTTCAAATTAAAAGAGGGGAAATTTAGATTGGATATAAGGGAGAAGATTTTTACAGTAAGGGTTATGAGGCACTGGCACAGGTTGCCCGGAGAGGTGGTGGATGCCGCATCCCTGGAGACAATCAAGATCAGGCTGGATGGGGTTCTGAGCATCTGATCTAGCTGTAGGTGTCCCTGTTCACTGCAGAGGAGTTGGACCAGATGGCCTTTAAGGGTCCCTTCCAACTCAAACAATTCTGTGATTTTATGATTCCATGACTTTTCTGGTTTTGTTCTGGTTTATGTACACCAGAAATTGGTTCTGATACCATTTCTGATTCAAATCAGATCTGATTTGATTCTGTTTGAACATCTGAAAACTGTAGATCAAAATCAACTTAAGCTTGACAAATACATTGGTTTAAATGTTCCTTAGTTTTCATATGATACCTTGCTCATGGCAGAGAACTGAATTCACTTAGAAATAAAATATCTGTTTTGATGTTTTTAGTGGCATTTACTTGAAATAGATGTGTTCTCAAATGGGGAAAAATTTATAGCATGCATGCATATATATATTTTTATAGACAAGCATGTTGTATTACATAAATGCGTGAGAATATAGCACACAGGATATAGGAATAGGCCTGTATGTATTAAATAAAAATTGCTGTGATATGGAAATGTCAAAAAGGATACTGTGTCTGAAATATGGTTCTAAAATAATCATCTAAGATTCTTTTAGTTTTTTTATACTGTGCTGCCAAGAAGAAAAGATAACTCTTATCTAATAGCAGCATGATTTATTTTTTATTATTTATTATTTGTTAATTTATTTATATATTTTTATTTATTTATTGCATCTCTGAAAACCATTATCAATTGCTTCTCATAGAAATCTAGGAAATTTTCAAGAAAAGTATAAACGCATAAATTCAGATTTAAACCAGCAGCAGTGATCACCAAGCTAAATACAGACTAGCAAGGTAATTATTTTTTTCTTCTTGCAGATATGCATACTACTATACTGCAATAGGAGCTGCTGTTCTTGTTGCTGCTTATGTCCAGACATCATTCTGGACACTGGCAGCAGGCCGACAAGTTAAAAAAATTAGAGAAAAATTTTTTCATGCAATTATGAAACAGGAGATTGGATGGTTTGATGTAAATGATGCAGGAGAACTTAACACTCGTCTCATAGAGTAAGTATACTATATCTTCTGCAGTGTTGTTTCACCTTAATATGTATGTATGGCTTGTAAGAATTTTCTATTTTTGATTTTTCAAATTTATTTATTTGTGAATCTCATGCAAGTTATCTCATGGTGAGAGCTGCATAGTTTGAGATTAACATCATGAAAAAAGGTACAAAGTTCTGTTCACACTGGGAGCTGAGCAAGGTGATGACTGACACTAGTAGTATGAACAGTTTAATTACTTGACAAGCTCTCTCCTTGCTTACATGAATGGCTTCAGCTGCTCCTCCCAGATATCTCACAGTTTCCAAATAGATCCAGACTTTAGGATTAAAAAAGTGACAGTAACATTCCACTGTGAGCAATTTTCAACCTTCTTGGAGAAAAACAGTCTTACAGAATTACATTCTCACATGAAATAAGAAATTTCCTATGACTACATTACATACTTCTCTATCTTTAAGCAAACTGTTGGTAACTCACTGAACAATAAAGGCTTTTCTCTACACAGGTGCCCATGTAACAAAACTGAAAACTTTTCTGTGGTTTGTACATTTACCTTTGTGTCTAAATGTAATTTGTTTTTCAGTGATGTCAGCAAGATTAATGAAGGAATAGGTGATAAAATTGGATTGCTTATTCAGTCAGAAACGACATTTATATCAGGATTTGTTGTTGGTCTTGTAAGAGGATGGAAATTAACCCTTGTAATACTTGCAGTCAGTCCTGTCCTAGGACTTTCAGCAGCCCTCTGGGCAAAGGTAGGTTGATATATGTTCAATGTTAGGTTCTTATACAGGGTAGATAATTACATGAATCCACATAGGTGTATTCTTACAGTTGGAATGTATTGCTTGGAGCAAATTCAATGGCTTTAGAGAACATCTATGAACATAAGCTGGACTGTGTATAAGTGCCCTTGGGTAGTTTGAATTTTACACTTCTGATGGATTGGACACACTGGCTTTAATTTGAAGCAGTTTATGTCAATATAGCATATTTTATACAGAGAAGGATGCAACTCAGACAATAAAACACAGATCTCTTACAGTTAAAAATTCATTCCTTCTGTAGGAAGGAATTGCACTTCCTGGTTAATACTCAAATAAATTAGGCCAAGCTGTGATCACTTAAATGAGAGAAGTAACATGGGATTGGAGTGCCTTCAGTTTGTATAGTACTTTCCTTAAATTTCAAAGATGAGGTAAGCTTTATTTTTTCCAAGTGAGTGTGTTAGGGAAGATGTCAGAGTAGAGAGGCATTTGCCACATATATCTTCTAGCTGAGAGTCGTTGCGGAGTGTGGCCAATTAATGTAAATCTTGAGCCCTCTGGCTAAGGTAGCCAGTGATGAGAATGGGCTGAGGAGATCTGCCTGAGAAGAGACCCACCAGCTCACTATAAGCACTCATCTACTCTCTTGCACAGGGTGAAAGCAGACTGTAAAATCCGACTGAATTCATAATGTAATTATGTTGAACACTCCTGCACTTGTACATAATATAATCAAAAGGCTTCACAGTGGTTTTTGTCAGTTAAGTGCTTGAGATCATTCTGCTTTTCTTAAGTCAGAATATTTGATCCTGTATTAGATTCTCACTGCATTCACCGATAGAGAGCAAGCTGCATATGCAAAAGCAGGAGCTGTTGCAGAGGAAGTTCTGGGTGCAATCCGTACTGTAGTAGCTTTTGGAGGGCAAGAAAAAGAAATTAAAAGGTAAGAGCAACGCTTACTTTCATCAGCTATTGTGAACTATTCATTTCAGATAGTTTCAAATTTTTGAGCATCTTCACTGCTGAAAGTCTGCCCAAATAAGTAAACACTGCACTTCCTGCACTTGTGGGCACTGGGGCTGGAAATTGTCCGTTACTGACTTCTGTGTGATGAATGACACTGACAAATGGAGAAACTGACAAATTAAGTTGGGGTATTTTCTCTAGTCTGGAAACTGCATAACCTACTTCAAACAGTAAGTGACAGCTTTAAACAAAAAAGTCCTGCTGTGAGAAACAATGATGGTGTCTTTGGTAATCTGGTCATACCGTAGGGGTCTTTTAAACAATATTTCTATTTCCACTGTACTGCAGAAAAATATTGTTGTGATGTGTCTTAACCTTTTATTAAGCTAACAACAAGAATCTCAAAACCTGTCACAAATGGCTCACAGAGTTCACTCAAGTTGGGGTTATTTAAGGAACTCACATGTCCTTTATGAGTGCAAAATCCTTTTTTTTTTTTTTTTTTTTTTTTTGTTGTTGTTGTTGATCTGCCAGTTCTACTGATGTTGGCATTTTTTTTTATTACCTTAAGTTATCTCTATGCCTGTCTATCTACCAGACTTGCCTTTGTGCCTCCTTAGGGTATTATATTATACATTGCATACATTATAATACCTACAATAATTCATCCGCAGTTTTGGGTGCTGTGTACCATGTCTGAGTTATTTCAAGCTTCTGGTTTGTTTTTTTTTTCAGATACCATAAAAATTTAGAAGATGCTAAACGCATTGGAATAAGAAAGGCTATTACATCTAATATTTCTATTGGTGCTGCTTTCTTACTGATATATGCATCATATGCACTGGCCTTCTGGTATGGAACTACCTTGGTCTTAACCGATGATTACACTATTGGCAAGGTTCTTACAGTAAGTATTTATCAGTAACTTTTCAATTATATTCAGAAATTTTACACTGAAGTGTATTTTGGGAACTTAATTGAGTATATTCAGAATGATGTTTCAAATTGGAAAAATAGTTTCCTTTCTTCTTAACAGAGAAGATTGTCATAAATATGTCTACATGTTTTTTTGATAGTATTTCAAAATCTACATCAAACCAAGTTAAATATATATTAGTTTCATTTGTTACATCTTCTCTGACTTCCATAAGCTCACGCTGATATAGAAACAGCTCAATCAGAAACTGAAGTATGGTACCCTTCCTAGTTGCTGTTTTCAGATTTGTGGGACTGAATGTGTTTTCAGGATGCAGAAAGAAAAGATTTTTTTTTGAGGTGTGGTGTGATTAAATAGATCTGTTTGTTGATACTGATATTTTGCTCCATAAGCCTCTAGAATCTCTTTTCAATATTCATAAAATGCAAGGGGAAGTAATATAAGACTAGGAAATATGTCACCATGTTACAACCAAAAGAAGAAAAGCATAACTTCATCATTACTTCAGTTCATCTCTTGAGGAGGCAACCGTTCTGTTTTTGTGTGAGCTATCCAAAGAAATGCGGCAAAAAATACAATTTCTTCAACCATGAGGAAGCCCAGCCAGGACATCTCTTAAAAGCTACCTGCTTTATTGTTTATTTGTTAGTTTGTTTTGCTTATGAATCACTCTGATTTGCAAAAAAAAAAAAACCTGATATCTGATAAGAGATATTGACTCTTTGGAATCTTTGCCAAGCAAGGCCAATTTTTTATAAAGGCAGGCTGGCATACAAAACATTTCAGTCATGCTCAGACAATTACTCATGTTGTTTTTTGTAAGTTCATGTAGTAAACAGTAGAGCTTCGTTGGAGTCTTTGCCAAAGAATATTTGAATGCTAGTTTACACGTGTTCAAGGAATGGCTGGACAAAATATATGCAGTAAAATTCATTGAAGATATTAAATATAGAAAAACAAACTGCCTTAGGAAATCCTCTGATCCAAATACAGTTAGAGTCTATCAGAATAGCAGGGAGAAGTAGAACAGCATCCTGCTCTGTTCTTGCATGCCTTATTTTAGGTATCATATCTGTGAATGGCCACTGTTGGGGAGAAATGACCGATGTGATGGATCTCTGGTTTAACATACTAACATGGGCATTGATATGACCTCTCTTTGAGGTGTGTCTTTTGGAACCAGCTAAAAGCTAGTATGTTTCTCCAAGCAGATAGTATACTTTTAGTAAATCTGTTCTGTTCATTTGTTTGCTTTGTTTTCTTTTTCTTGGTTGCTTGCATTCCCTCTCTTTAATTCCAACAGGATGAACATTTATTTGTTTGTGGTGGGAAAGGAGAAATAAACTCTATCACTGTGAAAGGAGAAGGTGCTTTGCAGATCAGTTTTGATCTGCTATATTCATCTTGAAGCGGAAATATACTGTTAGGTGTTTGGGACATCTTTTGCCAAAGAATGTGTTAGTACAATAAATCCTGAAACATCAAGAGAACTTTTTTTTTTTTTTTTTTTTTGGCATAAATTTTGAAAGATTTATTCTCAGTCATCAGTTTGTTTGCAATATTCACATTGGGCAGAATCATAGTTTTCATCTGACTCTTAAAAAGGCCTTTTCTTAATGTTGTTCTCTATTTAAGAGAGAGCCTTTCATTTTTTCTTTAATTGTCAATTACTTGAACTGACCCAAAGTTATCTAATATAAATAAATGGAATTCCCTGCTTAAATAAGTCTTGCTATATGTCACCATGAATATTTCTTTCAGGTCTTTTTCTCTGTACTGATTGGAGCTTTCAGTATTGGACAAACTGCTCCAAGCATAGAGGCATTTGCTAATGCAAGAGGAGCAGCCTATGCAATCTTTAACATCATTGACAATGTGAGTATCCCACCATTGTTCTGAGACCTTTTTAAAGACTTCTCAGAGACCATTCCTTTTAAAGTGCATATGACCATAAGTTTGAAGAACAGTAGTGGCACCAAAAACAGCATGATTGTCTGCAAATCTATGAAACTACTTGCTAACCTGGATATGTGCTTTCAGAGTCTGAAATCCGGAATGCTATGATTTTATAAGCTAATGAAGTTATGTAAATGCAATTACAGGTTTTGAATTGTTCTGAAGACATACTTTGAGTTGTAGACCTACCCCTTGATAATAATGAAAACAGTAGAAATTAAGAACTTTGTTGAATGATTTCTACTTAATAGTCAGTGGATCAATTCTTTCCCACAAAGATGATTTCAGCAGAAAGAGCAAAGCTCTCAATGAACAGAGTATGAGCAGCTCATCCGAGGTGATCTGTTCAGGTTAATCAGACAGTGGAATGAGTCTCAAAGTACAGCTGGCAATGGATATACTCTTAAAGATGATGTATTAAATTCACATGAAGTTTTAAAAGGAAAATTATAAAAATTATTTTTTCATTAACAACTCAGCAAGGTAGTAATGAGGCAGTCAACAATGCAATTTACATGCTTCACAAGTCTCCTCTAAATCAGTTTAAAATTCTATTTAATATCTCTACAGAACAATGATACATTGTATGGCGTCCCTATGAACAAAAAAAGTCATTAGGAAATAAGCTTTTCCTCTGCTTGATTTATTTCTCACAGGAACCTCAAATTGACAGTTATTCAAATGCAGGACACAAACCAGACCACATTAAAGGGAACTTGGAATTCCAAAATGTTTTCTTCAATTACCCATCCAGACCAGATGTTGAGGTACTGTAAATGCAACTTGAAATGTAGATAATAAGCTAAGAAATAAAAAATGAAATAAATAAAATTTTCTTGAAAATGTAACAATTCCAGGTTGATTTTCTAAATCATGTAAAAATATTATCATCATAATGACTTAACCTAGAATTTTTTGCATCTTAGCAAGTGCTGTCATAACTCAGAGACTTAGAATGAACTCTGAAAATACTTTAATAACGAGTGTATTTGCACTACGTAACTGTTTCCTTCCCTACCTCAAAGGAAAATCACTGATCTAGGGAATGGAATCTTTCTTACTTTGGTAGGCTAAAACAAAAATAAAAAGACTTTGGCTTTTCCTTCTATCAAGAAAATGAATTAAGTGCTTGATTGTTCTTCATATAGAAATATAAGTGAACAGACATCTGTTGATCTCATTTCTAAGTTTATACTGCATACTGCATAGTACACTAGTATACACAGCGTACTGCAAGTATGATATGAACAGAGAAATTTCTCCCCTCTGGTGTCAGACAAAATTATAGAGAGTAAAGGCTACAGCAAGCTATTAAAAAGTGCCATATAAATTAATTATTGTAAAGAAGAAAAGGGACTTCAGATAACTCCGAGGCGTTCATTACTGCTTAAGTTTAAGCTACATGAGGTAAAGTTAATTCTTCTTTGCAACAGGATTAAGTACAGCAAAATAACTGTCAGGCATGAAGACTGCAAGATACTTCCTACCTCATTAGACAGATTTTTCAACCATCCTTACTACCTCTTCTATGTTTTTTCTTAGAAACAACCTAAATTGATTTTATTTTAATATAGGAAAAAAGATCATATCAATCATAAACTGAAATCAGTTGTAATACAAACATTTTAGAGCAACTTCTTTTGCTACATTACATTTTGCTTTACCTACATTAGGTTTGTTTGAGTTCTAAGTAAGGTCTGTAGGCTAAATCTTTTATAGCATTATGGCCAGAAGGTTAAATACGACAGTTTCATGCATTTTTAACCATTATTACTTATGAAGGACCTCTTCTTTTGATCTAGAATGATTATAGCAAAGTAAGACATACTAGAAGTTATATATTTGTTTTCTTGTCCTCAAAGAATGAGGTATATTTCACTTGAGAACATAGATATTGGTACCAATGGAGAAGAGGCAGTGGTAGTGTTTGGGATAGAAAATTAGTAAGAGATGCTGACGAGGACACCAGGCTGCAGCATACTGGGGAGTATTGGAATGTGTCAGTGCGTGTTTGTACATTCTGAATGGAAAAATGCACTTAGCCCTAATGTGGATGCTATCTGTCAGATTTGAATAGTTCATTGCAGATTACTCCTTCCATAAAACTAGCAAAAAATACTCTTTTCTCCATTTCAACAAGTATTTCCAACCACAGAAGTTATATAAAGTAGTGAAAGCTGTGCTGACTCGTTACAGCTGTTGTCTGAATAAAGTAAAAGTAGAAGTTAAAACAATATATTATTTTTCATTGTTAGATATTCACACTATTCAGGTAAGCAGGTCAATATTGTATCTTCCATGCCTGTGAAATGAATATTTTATGGTACACGAAAGTTATACATTATGCAACAAAATTTTACAATTATAGAGAAGCCCTTCCAGAAATTACAATCCACAGGGGAAAAAATAAAAATACTTCAGATTTAGAAATGAACAATATGGGTGTATTCTATTAGTTTTAAGCTCTTTTGCTGAGCAGTGGTACCATACCCATAGGTTACATGGTGCACTGAATGAAAAGTTGAAGCAACATAATATGGGAATATTGTTTCATATTGCTATATTCTAGGTACAGGGAGTAATCACATTATTATTATTCTGTCATATAAATTGGTTCATTATATGGTTGACTGTGAAGTGTGTTGTACAATGTATTTATATGGAATCAGATGTGTTGTAATCATGAAGAAAATTTAGCACGACTCACCAGTGGTACAAAATTTAAACTCACTTGATTTTAAATGTTATATTGTACTACACACTTCTGAAAATATGAAGGATGTTTCACTGGAGTCTTCAAAGTTTCTGCAAGTTTACTCTGATGTTTTGCTTCTGGCAACCTTTCTTACATGCACAGATACTGAAAGGCTTGAATCTCAAGATTAATTGTGGCCAGACAGTAGCCCTGGTTGGTGGCAGCGGCTGTGGAAAAAGTACAACTGTTCAGCTCATCCAGAGATTTTACGACCCCAAGGAAGGCACGGTAAGACTCTTCAAGTGAGCAGACTGCTCTGTGTTCTAACGGCACAGCTGTAAGAAGTCAGCTTCTGGTCTCACTGCCCTTGTTCAAATGACATGGCCCAGTCTCTCCTAAAAAAGGCAGGCTTTGGGCTGGAGAGAGAGTTCTTGACAACAGCACTTAGTAAATGGTGCTTGTCTGCTTCCCCTGCTGTAGATTACCATCGATGGGCAGGATCTGAAGAGCCTGAATGTAAGATATCTGCGGGAGATTATTGGTGTGGTGAACCAGGAGCCCGTGCTGTTTGCTACAACTATTGCAGAAAATATTCGCTATGGCCGCGAGGATGTCACCATGGAAGAAATTGAAAAAGCTGCCAAGGAAGCTAATGCTTATGATTTCATCATGAAGCTCCCCAAGGTAAGCAGGCCAGCTGTCCTGCTGAAACAATTGCTTTTCAACCTACTCACTTAGCAAAGCGTTTCTCAGAAGGGCGTCTCCTGAACAGATGAACCTCTTCCCGGAGCTGTGAATATGCAGAGCTGTGCAGAGCTTCCTCACCACTTTTGAGATTAATGTAAACTTTAAATTATTAAATAATGGCTGGATGAGCATGTAGGAAACGGAGAGAGTTCTAGGGACACAAACAGGAAGGCATATTTAAGCAGATGCTTAACATGCAGTGTTTTAGAGGAAGAGAAGATGCTGCTGGGGCTACTAACGCTGAGGTGCCTTTTCTGCACACTGCCTTTCCTTGGTGAAGGGACCAAGCTGAGTGTTGGTGGAAATGTGTGTGCTTGTCTTGCAGAAGTTTGAAACTGTGGTTGGAGAAAGAGGGGCACAGATGAGTGGAGGGCAGAAGCAGCGAATAGCAATTGCCCGTGCTCTGGTTCGCAATCCTAAAATTCTTCTGCTTGATGAGGCAACATCAGCTTTGGATAATGAGAGTGAATCCGTTGTGCAGGCAGCGCTGGATAAGGTCGGTATTGCTTTTTTATTTGAAGAGCTGCAAGAAGTTGCAATTCCTAAAAACTTTAAAATAAACCTGAACTTGCAAATATTCACTGCTCATTCAAAGAATTGGAAGCACTTTGTATGTGCCCATGGAATTAAGTTAATGATGTTAAGAGCCAGACTGAACTTCACCAGGCTTTCCCAAACAAACTTTTGGAAATTGGAAGTTGGAAGTGTTCAATGCAGACTACTATTCCCAAGCAGGAATCCACATGGGCTATGTTCTTATTAACAGCAAAGTAATTGGTTGGTTGGGTTTTCAAGAGTAGAAATAAAGCAGGTAAGTAGGAGCCTAAGATGTACTTTTCTTCAGATTTTTATTGAAAGAATCGCATCGGGACCTTTTAAATGCAAAAGGTAAACAATGATTTCGCAAATATTCTCTGTATAGATAATTTTTTTGGTTTCTACATGTATTACAGTGAGGAATCTGTTTCAAGTGAGGAGTTGGAATTATATTTTCTGCATTATTAATCTTACATTAAAAAAAATCTCAGTGTAAACATCCCCTGCCATCATCTGTCCTATCGATATGCATGTAATTGTCAGTGACCTGCTTAATTTGTTTTGAAGCCTGACAGAGTGAATAAAAGCTACCAGCATGTTGTAACATTGGTAGCAGTGACCCATTAGTAAACACTCCAAGGAAACATTTCCTTCTGTTAATGTGAATACCTCTAGATTCTCATTCTGTTCTCATGGTAAGCTATCTCATTAAGAGATAGCTGATCCCTCATGTGACACAAGAGTCTCTACATTTATTCTGGGGCCAGACTACCGAATGTTGTTCTAATTTTATCCAGACAGATTCTATTTCAGCTGCCTGTACTGTAATGCTTTCTGCTGGTGCCATTTGGAATAATAGTGCTGGGCAGAGAAAGACAATTTCTGGAAAAATATTGATGGAAATACAGTTAACAGCATTACAGTAAAAGTTAGTTACTTAGCTTTTATTGGTCAGATTACCTTATAAAAATGGCTCCTTCTAAGCCCTTGCAGAAGACCTGGGGTTGTAAGATACTTCTTAAAATCTGTTTTTTCAAACTTTTAAAACTTACATTTTTTCTCTGTATTATTTTAATAGTTCCATTAGGTCTTATTCAACCGTAATGTGAAGATCAAATCTTTTGAACATACTTGGAAATATTTATTTTAACTATTATTATATCTAGGCAAGAGAAGGACGGACCACAGTTGTAGTAGCTCACCGTCTGTCAACTGTTCGAAACGCAGATCTTATTGCTGTGTTTGACAGTGGAGTTATTACAGAACAAGGAAATCATTCTCAACTAATTGAAAACAAGGGAATCTACTACAAACTTGTGAACATGCAGGTACATTTTTCCTTGCTATGCCTTTTATTTTTATGTGTTCTGTGCCCATAATTATTATGTGCTCTCAGAAGTATTCTGTAGGAATTCTGCAGTCTGCTTTTTCAAGAGCAAAAATATTTCAGAGATTAAACAACTACATTTCACACCAGAGGTATTTAAACCCAGGATATTACATTTTTAAAACCTTTCAGGGATTGAAACTTACAAGGTTATTTAATATTCAGCTATTAAAAAGCTAATATCAATAGCCTATGATAAAAAGTAAAATATGGTAGTGGATTACTGGAGGGATAAGACATGCATATTTAAAGTGTTTGATTATAACCCTTTATGCTGAAGTTCTTTTTAACAAAATAAACAAACAGGAATAAAAGGAAAACAATCCAGCTGTGATGAGCGCAAAAATGGGTGCACTTACAATGTTACATAGCCAGAAACAAAGAGATTGGAAATTAAAAATCAAACATAAATATCAAAAATGTATTAAGAAGTGAAGAAAAAGTCTTTTATTACATCCCAGTGTCATTTTATAATTAGGTTGTTAGCCTTCTGTGACATGGTATCTTAATACATAACCATCACACCCACTGAAGAAACTGAAATAAATATCTCACTTTGTCAGACTAAAAAGGTTAAACAATGCCAATTAAAACATTTCTTCATAAAATATCTAGGAGAAGGCATTTAGTCATCTTAGATTCAAAGTAATTTTGTATTCAGGTCCATGTAATAATGAGAAAAAGGTAGGAAATTTAAAATGGACTAAAAATAATTTCTGTAACTTGGAATACTTTAGAAAAATATGGAACAAAAGAAAAAAATTAGTTTTTGTTAATAGCACAAGAACCAATAAGAATACATAGATACTTACTCCTTCTGCCAAAGACACTGCATAAAATACCACCAAAACTTTTTCAGTTTATTCAGATTTCTCATTCAGAGTCTCTTTTTGACTTGTTTCTTGTTGGACTTCTCTGTTTAAGTTAAAATCAAGAATTGTTCACAGTGTTCTGTAGTGACAGGTAGGCAATTTTCTCACTTCATGGATGAACAGCATGTCCCTAAATCCCAAGATAAATGCAAATGGTTCATAGAATTCAAAACATTGTTAAGATTTCATACTTCCACTTCTCTTACCTCCACTTACTGTAAATATTTTCTTGAGAGGTTGTGTACTCATAAATGAGTCTAGCTCTGAATTTGGAGATCTACTCAAATACAATACAATATTTCATATCTGCTTATAACATTATGCATTACTCTGCCCTTATCTCTTTCCTTGAAATAGTGACTTCAATTAATTTTATTTTCTCATAATTTTGAAAGTTAAAAACTCTACATGCATTATTAATCTTAGCATTATATTCTTTCCTGTTTTAGGCAATAGAGACTGAAGATCCATCATCAGAAAAAGATGAGAATACAGTCAGCATCAAAAGAAATGGATCTCCGTCAAATCTGGATGAATCCTTTAAGAAAGGACTGAGAAGAGGATCAACTCGGAGAAGCATGAAAAAGCCAAATGATACTGATGGGAAAGATGGTTCACCTGTAAGTGTCTTTGCAGAACTGCTAGTGAATTCCTTCCAACAGTGTATTACAATTCTTACTTCTGCCCTAGAAAGGTGCAAAAAGAAGCTAGCATTTGATAGCCTCTAGTGAAACAAAATAGAAATATTCTAAATTATTCTAATTCTAAATAGGCTTTAAGTAGTAATATTCCAAACTAGTTTTGTTATCTTCACCATTAACGATTTGCTATAAAACAAATATATTTGTACAGCATACAGACTTTGTCAGTATGAGTTAAAAATTCATTTTTAGGTTAGAAACAATACTTTTGGGCCAGCAAGTCTTTCAGCAAGTCTGGAATATCAGATGATTATCAGATGAACATCCGCAAATACTTTGCCATCTGTTATAAATGCTCAGTGGAGAACTACTTGAATTACTGTATTTATGGATTACACATTGTGAGCAATGCATTCAGCTGCCACTAAACCACTGATACTGATACACGATCAATGAACATGAAATAATTAACCTGAAATATTATAAAAGAAATCACAGATATATTCTAACAGCTCTTTCTTTCTTGTACTAACATCATAAAAATAAAAATACAATCAGTTAATTATTTATGTATTAAAAAGTTTACACATTGTCTTCCCTTTAATTGATCATGGGAGTAGGAATTTGAATGCTAATTCCTATTTTTTCTCCATATTTCTCCAAATGCATACATATATTTTTTACCAAATTTCTCATTCTTTAAGGCTGAAGAATTACCTCCAGTTTCATTTCTGAAAGTTATGAAGTTGAACAAAAAAGAATGGCCGTACTTTGTAGCTGGAACTCTGTGTTCAGTTGTCAATGGAGCTTTACAACCTGCATTTGCAGTCATATTTTCAGAAATTATAGGGGTAAGTTTAAATAAAATATGTAAAAATCTATGCAGCTCATAAGATTTATTTTCAATAAGGTCTTAATCACAGGATTATGAAACTGAGGAGTGGATGAAGCACTGTTACAGAAAACTTAACGACTATATGAAATTTACAAAATACTAAAAATCTTTTTATAATCTGCAATTTTCTTCTTCTATCCGCAAGCAAATGCAGAATTTAGTCAAGTTTTCTGTTAATGCAAATGACTGACAAAAATAGTTATTTAGAAGCATGGGAGTATTTTAGATGATTTCTTGTTTGAACAGATGGTGTTTTAAATATTATTTTATTTTATAGATTTTTTCAGAAACAGATGATAATGTTTTGAGAGAAAAGAGCAACTTGTATTCACTGCTGTTTTTAGCAATTGGGATTGTTTCGTTTTTTACTTTCTTTGTTCAGGTATGTATTATTGTTACAGATTCATTATAATTTTTCTGACCTCATTGTAGTTATCTTATAATAAAAATTATTACAACTTTTAGATTTATCATGATATGTTGTGTCATGATTTCTGAATATATGTGTGTAGCTTTATCCATTTAATGAGTATACGTAGTTAAAAGGCAAAGTGTTAGAAGAGCAGCACTAACTTTTTTTTGTAAAAACTTCATTTTGTTTGTGGAACCGTCTTGCTGTATGTGTATGCAAAAACACCTTGAGAGTAGAGGACTGAGTTGTAGATAGATATGACAAATCTGCTCATCTTAAAAGTGTTCAGATGATGAATGGAATGGAATGTTTCTGCTGTGAACCTACTAGAACTTGTGAACATGAAATGTACTTTTACATGTTATGTGAGACCACAACAGCAGTATTTTGTATTTTGATATTGTAGAGATAACATATCTAAAACACTCACTGAGTAAATACAAACAATCTGATGCACATTAAGCACTGTAATTCTTCTCAAATAGGGTTTTGCATTTGGCAAAGCTGGAGAAATTCTTACAATGAGGCTTCGATTCATGGCATTTAAAGCAATGCTGAGACAGGTAAAGAAAACAAATATTTTAATTTCCATTTTTTCTAAAGATAGTTAATTGTGTTAGTACTGTAGCCTCACGTATTCTATTTTACCATATTATGATTTATCTACAAAGGAGATTCTTTCAATTATTTTAGAAACAGTCTTTGGTTAGTTGTATGGGATTAAGTAAATAATCTGCAGAGAAAATGTTTTAAGTCAATGTAAGAACTTTCTGTGTACTCCATGCAAAGCCTTAGACTCACAGTCAAATTACTATTGCTTAATGTTACCACCAGCCAAATCCTATTATATTTTCACATGCATGCTTTGCTTTCTTGGTGCTCTTTGTCCCCTGTGTATCTTACTATGAAACCGTTTCTTCAAATGTCCAATTTAAATTGTGATACATACAGATATGTTTTTGTTTCTGTCTTGAAGGTCTGTTTCAAAGAGTTCTTAAATGTATATTTATTGTTTATTAATACAATAACAATGAAATCTAATTCACTTTCAGAGCATTAAGGGATATATATTTCCGTAATGATTTTAAGTAACTCCTGAGGTTAACCAAACTGGCCTTTATTTTGCATGATTTCAGGATCACTATCTTGATTTTAAAATAGAGAATATGTTTCTGATTTTTATGTCTTGCATATAAAGCTACATGCAGACAGAACTTGATTCATGTGAAACATAACTATTTGCAGTATGGACAGAAAGCTGTTGTATTATGAATAACTGTGAATTATTGGTCAGCTTCACTGAAAATCTAAAGAAAGTGCAATATTGCAGTTGGGTCTTGCTATTTACAGAGGCATGTGCTGCATCACCAGGTTTTCATATGATTAGTATTACACCTTGATGTTGAAATTAGATATTTGATCTCATGGTGGAAAAGTTATAAACTATGTAACAAATGACTTTGATCAGATAGACCAGGGTTGGTTGTAGTGCTTGTTTGTTTTGTTTTTATTTATTTTGTTTCATAGCTTCCAAATAAGCTTTTCCAAACTGAGAGAAACAAAGCAATGAATTAGGAGTTTTTACCTTTAAAATGCTTAACATTTCCCCAAACAGCTTTGCAATTTGGAAGGAATGGGACTGATGAGCCATATAACTCAAGAAGGTGCAGTTTCAACAGCTGTGGAGGAGAATATATTTTAGTTCTGAGAATCCCACAGGTTGCTTTCCATCTTCCTCCCTAGTAGCAGCATACGCATCAGGTCATCCACAGACATGTACTTCTTCCTAAGACATCCATTGTCCAATGAAGGTATTAGACTTAAATATACAGAAATTATATACTGCCAGATACACACTCTTCTAACACTGTGCTCAGTTGTATTACAAAGATTTCACTTTTACTTTCATGTTTATATTAAGCACACAAAAACTGGTCCTAAGAAAAACGTTTCTTATTATAGGACATGGCCTGGTTTGATGACCCTAAAAACAGCACTGGAGCACTGACAACAAGACTTGCTAATGATGCCTCACAAGTGAAAGGAGTAAGTAAAATTTGGTTTGGCAATTTTTCATACTTGATTTAATGCATAGTAATGTTGCAGCAGGAATTTGACTAGTTGATTAACAGTCTGCACTTTGACAGCATCCAATATTTTCACAGTGGTAAACTGACATTTTGTATAGGCTGGATGTGTCTCTGGGCAGCCTAGTCTAGTGATTGGTGACCCTGCCCATGGCAGGGGGGTTGGAACTAGGTGATCATTGTGGTCCTTTTCAACCCAGGCCATTCTATGATTCTGTGATTCTATGATAGAGTGCACTGATGCATTTCCCAACAGTAATGATAATATATGCTTACAAATATGAGCAAACCTTTTAGTTTTACTATTGTGCTTCTCCCTGTGCTCAGCTCTGGTGAGGCCGCACCTCGAGTACTGTGTTCAGTTTTGGGCTCCTCGCTACAAGAAAGACATTGAGGCCCTGGAGCGGGTTCAAAGAAGGGCAACAAAGCTGGTGAGGGGTCTGGAACACAGGGCTTATGAGGAGCAGCTGACGGAGCTGGGATTGTTCAGTAATGGAGAAGAGAAGGCTCAGAGGAGACCTCATTGCTCTCTATAACCTGAAGGGAGGTTGTAGTGAGTGTCTCTCGTGTAACTGGTGGTAGGACAGGAGGGAATGGCTTCAAACTGCGCCGGGGGATATTTAGGCTGGATGTTAGGAAATGCTGCATTTCTGAAAGAGTGGCCAAGCACTGGAATGGGCTGCCCAGGGAAGTGGTGGGATCACTGACCCTGGAGGTGTTCAAGGAACATTTGGATTTTGTGTTGAGGGACATGGTTTAGTGAGAACTATTGGTGATAGGTGGATTGTTGGACTGGATGATCTTGAAGGTCTTTTCCAACCTTGGTGTTTCTGTGATTCTGTGTTGTGTTTTTTATTAATAAACAAATTCATCAGGAATTTTCATTGCTTTTTTGAAGAAGTCTGTTTAGAGACGTTTTATTTACTTTAAGATATGTATATTAAATCTGTTCAGTTTGACAAACTTCAATTTTTTTTTTTATTTGCACCATATCAGTTAAACATTAAATTTTCTACTTCATTGGGCTCTGTGTGATGATTTATAAGCTATAAATATAATAAATGTAATATTTATTTATTTATTTATTTTTATATAATATGTAAATTATATATATATATAAATATATAATTTTATATATAACATATATATTATATAAATGTAAGAATATAATAAAGCTATATAGATAGATAGATATGCACATACATATAAATATATATTCATGATCTAAAAAGCGTGACATATTTTAATGTTTAGTTGTAAATGTAAATACTTGAAATGTTTAATGTCTGTTTAGCTTCATAAGCCAAATCAAAAATTACTGTGCAAATTTAAGTGCCCAGAATATGGGAAGAGAATTGTGAACCAGATAATTTGTTACAAAATAATTTAAGAATATCCCATTTTGAAAGTTGTGAACCTGCAGTAGGAGGTTCTAAATATCTTTGGAGGGTCAGAAAATAGATCAAAATGCTTTTCTGATTTAAAATGCTGTTCTTTTGGAAAAAAAAAAAAAAGTCTTTTTTCTATTCCCAGGCAACTGGCATCAGATTGGCATTAATTGCCCAAAACATATCTAACCTGGGAACTGGTATTATTATATCTTTAGTTTATGGCTGGCAGCTGACCCTGTTACTTTTAGCTGTTGTACCAATCATCGCAGTGGCAGGAATGATTGAAATGAAGATGTTGGCTGGGCACGCAAAAAAAGATAAAATAGAGCTGGAAGCTGCAGGAAAGGTGGGTCCAGTGAATTTCATCTATTTCTATGTAATACAAGTCATGTTTCCATTGATAATGGGCATGTTACTTATAAATAGAGATAATAACCTCATATATAACTTCAAAAGATAGCCAGACTGTAATTACACTGGTAGGCCCATAAGACACAGCAGCTCTTCAGTAAAAGTTACCAACTGATACTTATTTTCATAACTGATTAACACTAGAATACACTTAAGCGTTGCGCAGACACATTCTTTTTCCTGTCTATTCTAACAATTCCTATTTTCCTTATTTTGCAACACTCTTCATTGTGATGTTTTTTGTTTTCTGGTATTCTTTGTCATGCCATCTGTCTTATTGCTTTTTTTTCTTTGTTCCTTTTCATCTTAATGATGCTAGGGATAATACATGTATATCCACCAGTTCCTGGGTCTGTCAGCCATTCATTTATTTCTTGAATGGAAGAGAAAGATGACAGTTGAAGGCTAGACTCTTGTTAAGGAAATTAAAGGAAGGTATTTAATGTTACTTCGTTCCAAAAATACTTTTGAGACAGAACAACTATTTTGTCACTTTCTAGATTTTACTTTCTTCACAGCAAAACTTTTGAAAACTCCTTTCTGTGTATAAAGTTCCCCTGTAGGAGATGTCATGTTTGAGGCCTTCTTGCCATTTCAGAAGGGTGTGTGTTTACTCTGTGTTCTGAATACTGTCTGACATAAGTTCACTCAGTGTTTTGGGTGTCTAAGAGCAACTTCAACAACACAAGACACCGACGTGTGGGCAGGTGAATTAGGCTCTTATTTAGTTAATGATCCTTGAGAAAGGGTCTAATGAATAGGTATCCTATCATAGTTTAGACATCTATCTTAATCTGGATCCAAATCCCCCATTAATTCCTATCTACTAAAATGTTTACAATTCCAACTATCACATTTGTTGATAAACTTGTTGAAAAAACATTTTTGACCCTCCAAGTCAACAGGAATGATTGTGTAATGATCTCATGGGCTTCTGCACATAAGCCAGAAATGCTTTTCCTTTCTTTTCAACTGATTACTTCTACATCTTCTTTCTTCTTCTGTGCATCTAATTAACAATATTTTGTTGTAAGATATCACAGGAAAGAGACTGACAATATTTGGAATAGGCCCTTGAGAATTTCTTAGTAGAGCAGACTGTGAAAAAGCTAGCATAAATGTTACATAAATTAATGATTTTGGGGAATACTTAAGAAAAAACATAGTTTTCTTAGCATGTATGAGTGACCCCTGTCAGGGTAAGCAAACACTAGAACACAGGCATTTTATTCAGTTACCAGAATATTTAAAATTAGTTTTGTTCATAGTAAAGAGGGTTCTACTTGGAAAATTTACTGAATTTGATTTACTAACGAAAATATGTGACTACTCCTTTGCGTATTGGTGAGAGAATGTAACTAAGGAAAAACCCTATTACATTCAAATCAATGTTACTTATTTAAGCACAGATTTTCAAACAGTGGCGCAAACATTACCCAGGCTATAAAACAATTATATACTGGAACAAAGATAAGAAGACCACAATTTAAAAATCTTTGATAGTAGTTTATGGAAAAAAAAAAAATGCTTACAGATCTGTGTTTTCGATAAGCTAGATAAAGATAGTGAGGAATTATTGCCCTCCCAGCAACAGCAGCTGAGGCCAAACTGGAATGCTCAACACACCACGTACTGTACTGGATGCAGTGTGTGGGTCATGGATTCAAGCTCAGTGTTTCAAGCAGGGGTAAACAGAGATATAACACTAGCTACAGTGTTGAAGGAGATGTGATTCCAGGTGTTTTCTGTTGTTCCTTTGTCCTCTTATGCATGCATATGCACTGAATTGGCCATGCAGGCTCATAGCCTCTCTGTGCGTTCTTTGAAGAAGGCTTTATGGGCACTAACATAGGTGTAACAGATTATTTGAAACCCTTGTATCTATTGCCTTGAAGCGTTCCTAGATACCTGTGTGCACAAATGACAAGAGTGAAGAACCTGCAAGCTTAAAGAAGGTATTACTGATCAGATCAAACATTTACTGCTGTGATCTGAGTTAGGCCTTCAAAGTATAAATAACTGAGACAGTCCAAATGTAGCCCAAATTGAGTAGATTGGAAGTTGAATGCTATGTCTCTATTTCTCTTATGCAATATCTTTGCCTTAATTGTCACTGTCCAGAAGTTTTTCCCATTCTGTGTGGAAGACACTAGAGAAGTCGCATCAGAAAGTTCTGAGCATCATCTGAAAATCTCATCTAACTAAAAAGGAAAAACTGAGAAGGCTTTCTTTCATATCAAAGGTCCACAATTTTAAAAACAATTATAAAATAATAGAACTATATTCTAGTAGATACTTATGAAGTTATGGTAAGGAAATGCCACATGAACTTTACTTCCAACTGAAACATTTTGTTTCTTTTGCAGATTGCAACAGAAGCTATAGAAAATATTCGAACTGTTGCTAGTTTGACACGGGAAAAAAGGTTTGAGTTGATGTATGGAGAGCATTTGCATGTACCATACAGGTATGTTAAAAGTAACTGAAGAACTAAAAGTAAAATCTGAAGTTGAAGTACAGAATAAAATACACATTTTTACTTGTGCTACCAACTTTTTGTTAGCATGTTGTATTTAATTAACGAAATTAATGAAAAGATCAAAAAAGCACACTTGTGAGTTTGGCTTCTGTTCTTTGTGCCAAAAGGAAACATACAGTTATGACTCATGAATGATGTCAATATAATTAAAATATTTTTATTTCTTTTTATAAATGCTATCTCCTGAAAAAATACATACTAACCAGAATTTTTCTCTCTGCCTTACTTTCAGTTATACCTTTAGTTTTATTATCCAAAATCTAATTTCTGCATCAGAAGTGCAGGCTTCATTTTATTTGAGAGAAGAATTTTGACTGCTTGCATTGAAAAGAAGCAGATTCCCAAGTGTGTAATGTTGTAAAATCTGTTATTTGGTTAATTGAAATTTAGAGGCCACAAGCTAAAAATTCTGCTCTTTTTTTTCCTTCTTATGTGATGCAGTAGTACATGGACTAAACTGTGAAGTGTTTTAAAACTATGATATTGTAAGACAATAAATAGACATAGTAGCTAAAATGTCACCTTTTTCTGCACCCGTATTCCCAGCCATACTTGGAAATAAAATTATGGAAACAAAACAACCTTGGACACAGACTAATAGGAGATAAAGGTTTACACCAGTTAAGCATGGGTACACTTGCATTTCTAGCAGCAGCATCTGAAGTCAATTTATTGCTGGCATTTTTTTGCATTCTTTAGTACGATAGCACACTTTTATGAAAACATGCATTCTTTCTTACAGAAATTCTGTGAAGAAGGCACATATATTTGGGTTTTGTTTTGCCCTTTCACAAGCAATGATGTTTTTTACCTATGCTGGCTGTTTCCGCTTCGGAGCCTATCTTGTGGTTAACGGGTACATGCAGTACAAAAGTGTGTTCTTGTAAGTATTTTTTTGCAATCATTTGTCAAGAACTTTGTTTACTGCACAGAGATATTATGAATCCATGCTATAAGAATATATGCAGATTTTTTTTTTCTTTACTTAAAGATAATGAAAACACACTACAGAGGATATTGCCACCTTGTTGCAGGCTTGATTACTTCTTTAATGGTTTAAAAATAAATCACTAGCTACAAGGAGTCACTGAACCATAGAGGGGAAATCACAGAAATAGTAGAATTGTATCAATTTTGCTGTTCATTGACCACTTTTCTCCTCCCCTTGTTTGAAATTTAATAGCTAGCCAGTATTAATAATTAATTAAATTTATGTTAATAAGTAATGAAAACATCGAATTCTGAATCAAGGTTCACTTCTCTCATTTCATTAGAAGAGAACAAAACCAAATTTCTGGAACTAAATGGGTAATTAAAGCAATAATATGTGGCTACTGCTTTATTCTTTTTTAAATGTAGTTACCTTTTTTCTTTAAGTTAAAGTTGACGCAGTCCCATTTCCTTTCTCCATTCTCTGTTGATTTTTGTTTCTGATTTCTTTTACAGAGTGTTTTCAGCTGTTGTATTTGGTGCTATGGCATTAGGACAAACCAGTTCTTTTGCACCAGACTATGCCAAAGCCAAGATATCAGCAGCCCACTTGTTTGTGCTATTTGATAGAGTACCTTCAATAGACAGTTACTGCGAAGATGGAGAGAAACCTGTAAGTAAGCAATGTATAAAAGTCAATTATTATTTATTATTTTATTTTATTTATCATACATTATTTCTTGGCAGTATAAGCAGTACTCTTCTTACTCCAAGCTGATTTCTCCTCTCCTTCTGATTACCTCCTTATCTTGATATATTCTTGATACTTTATCCAAACACAACATGGAGCAAGTTTTTCATTGTGAGCCCCGTTATTGCCCGCACCGTGTCAGAGGTTATTTGTTTCGAAAATATGATCTTACATTAGAATTTGTGTGGAATTCAACTAGCACAATTACAAGCATATTCAAATTATTTCAGTGCTACACTTTGGTTTTATATCGTCACAAAGATTCAGACCACAGAGCAGAAGCCAGCATTGCAGAAAGTGCAAAACTCTAATTTCAGTGGACAAAAAATTCTATTTGAAATCGTATTTCTCATCTGTGAAACTGTCTTAAAGATGTAACAGTGATACTGTTTCAACTATAGGTAACATTTGGGGGAAACACGAGGATCAAAGATGTAAAATTTAACTATCCAAACCGACCAGAGGTCAAAATCCTCCAAGGCTTGAATCTACAAGTAGAAAAAGGACAAACATTGGCCCTTGTTGGTAGCAGTGGATGTGGAAAGAGCACTGTTGTTCAGCTACTTGAGAGATTTTACGATCCACTCAGTGGAGAAATTGTAAGTATTTTTGTGAGATTATACCAATTTTTGAAGTGAAGATATGTTCATTTCATTTCATGTCATGTGATAGAGCATAACAGATGATTAAAAACTTTTAAAAGCATTTTATTATGGACAAGAAATGGATTTTCTGTGTTTGATGTATAAATGCAGTGAAGTATTATAAGAAAAGTCCTGATTACTCACTTTATATTGAATTAATGCAACAAAATTTGTGTGGCAAAAATATGCTTGATCCACAGCCTAATGATGGCAGTGGGAAGACTGCTTTCAATACAGAGCAAATTATGTAAGGTTTTAAAACATTATGATAAAAAAAAAACACTTAAAAGGTTGCTTAATAAGGGTTGCTTAGTAAGTATATATGCCACTGTATGATGTAGCAATGTTTTCAATAATTTGGATTTAAAATTTGTCTAGAGTTTATGACACTTCTTATTCAGCAAATTTTAGTATTTTTTTCATGTAACAGTATCATTTATTGCCATTTTCTCTTTGATGTTCATGTGTTCAGAGATACCAGATTTCTTGGTATATTTTTATTCAGATTGAAAAGAATGATACAGCTTTGAAATTCCTCTAGTCAGTAGAAAAACTCTGTTGTCATTTCTCTAACAGAAAATGATAGCAACCCATAGCAAAGTTTAGCAGAAATGTCAAGGTTGCCAGTTCTCAACTGTCAATAAATGACATCTTCAGGAATCCAGTAGTAAATTTATCCGTTGTTAGGCATTACATTACCATTAAATTTATTATTGCTTCCATGGTTTAAAAATGTATGAATGAATGAATCCAAATCCCCTTTTTATTTGTAAAGGAATATCACTGTCCATCTGTCCCTTCAGTGGGAATATATGTGCAAAATAGAACAAAAAAAAGAAAGAATTTAACTTAAAGTTCTTTGAAGTAGCTCCAGTATCTTCCGAGCCTTCAAAATCTTAATGGAAGCAAAGAAAAGGATGGAGAAAACAGAAGGGGCTAGCTGCCTCACTTGCATACAATAGTCATTAGAAATTTCGGAACCCTTGGTAGAAGGGTAAGGGATTGTGTGAGCTTTCAATCTGGTATCTCTTGGGAAAGCTCCAATTGCATTATTTTTGTAAATTTGCAGCAAGTCTCAAATATATTCACATGTTTTAAATTTAAAATGTTTAACTTTCAGGAGTTTGATGACAAAGATGCCAAAACACTAAACATCCAGTGGCTGAGATCTCACATTGGTATCGTCTCACAAGAGCCAATCCTGTTTGACTTCACCATCGCTGAAAACATCGCATACGGGGACAACACTCGGGAGGTGTCCCATGAGGAAATCATTAGTGCAGCAAAAGCAGCCAATATTCATTCCTTCATTGACTCTCTGCCAGAAGTGAGTGATATTTTTTTCTCTCCTATTCAGAACTGCATGCAACCTATGGTGCTGTTGGAAGTTGACTTCACATCATCTAGCTGCTTTTTGCAATGACAGAGAAAATACAACTGTGTAGAGTGTCAATTTTTTACAGATCACTTTTGGTTTCTAATGACTCTTATCAAGATATGCTGTTTCCTAACCTGTGTAAAGAAATGTCGCAATATATACTGATGTCTCATAAACTTTAGTGCTTTTTGCAACAAAATATATATTACATTGCAGACTACTGTGATCAACACATTAATTTGTCCAGAGGTCTGATTGATCTTCCCTAACTGAGATACCTAAATTAACAGCAGAACTGCCCAAATCCATAGTATACGTATAGAGAGACAGCATATAAATATCTGTGTCTATTAACAGCATATTATTTGGCCTGAAACATATTAGGCATTGCTGTTTTTTTCTTCAGGATGAATAAATGCTGGTTAAATTGGCTAGACTGTTGGTTAGACTGATCAGCTAGGAGGATTGCTTGGTGTTTAAGGTCAGGGGTTTATCCCCAGTCATAGACTTTCAACTGACCTACAGTAGCTCTCAATCTCTGAATTAAGAACAGTGTTTCTTTTCAACAATAAAGGGTTGTTGCTTTAAGAAGTCTTGGACTAAAAAATCTATAGATCTGTGGCGCATGGCACTTCTGGTCATATTTTTTAAGAAATATATTGGTGTAGAGTAAACAGCTTAAAGACCAATCAGCTTAAATTCAGGATGGATTTGCATTCATATATTGAAACTAATGTATTCTTTTTAGAAATACAATACTCGTGTAGGAGACAAGGGAACACAGCTTTCTGGTGGTCAGAAACAACGTATTGCTATTGCTCGAGCTCTTGTACGTAAGCCACAGATTCTGCTGCTGGATGAAGCCACGTCTGCCTTAGACACAGAAAGCGAAAAGGTAACTTGGTTGTGAACCTGCAGCAGAGTCTAAACACGTTTGTTTGTATTCATATTATTGATTTTGTCCCCATAGATTAATGCCTAAAGCTGGAAGTATGGTGTTTTGTGCAAATTATGTATTTGTACTAGTCAAAGACAAATATTAAGGTCCTCCTTTGCCCCCAAAACACCATTGTCTTTGTACCTATATGGCAGTAGGCAGATTGAAGCAGCAGTGAAGAAGGCTTTTCTCTGCCTGGAATTTTTCTGGTTTCAATTAGAAACTGTTTGCCAAAATTGAATTAGGAGGAACAAACTTCAGAAATAGAATTGTTTGAAGAAATTGTCCATTACAACAATTTTCACTCCTTGCCAACACAGGCTAAATTTAAATCAAGAATCTAAAGTCATAGCTATTCCCTTTCTCTCACTACTATATTATAATTTATTCCAGACAGCAACTGAAGTAATACAACTTCCTGAATAGTTGTCCCATCACTGCCTCCTAGGCCATAGAATTATCATCTTACTCTTTGCTGCACTACACATAGTTCAACAGTTGTCCCCAGACTGCACCACTGGGGGAAAGGGTATCTGATTCTAATTTGCCCTTTGGTTTGTTCATTGCACAGATTGTCCAGGAAGCACTGGATAAAGCCAGAGAAGGCCGCACCTGCATCATGATAGCTCACCGCCTGTCCACCATCCAGAATGCTGACAAGATTGCTGTGATCCAGAACGGCAAGATCATAGAGCAAGGGACTCATCAGCAGCTTCTGGCTGAAAAAGGCTTCTACTATTCACTGGTCAATGTTCAAAGTGGGTCTTGCAACATGTAAATTAAAGGCAGTACTTCTCTCCAAAGTGTCACTCAAATTATTTCAATACTACATAATATTACTGGTCAGTCTTGATATTTTTTTTTCTCCAAAACTAAAGACTTTTTATAAATCCTATGAAAACAAGAAATAACAATGTACCAGTTTCTCACTACTAGTTTTCATTATTCAAACTACTTTACTGTGAGCCCGAAGTAGAAGCCTATTACACCCATAAAAGTAGAAGCTTGCTAAGCCAAATTTAATTCATGTTAGTTGCTTTGAACTCTAGCAAAATCATGCTATTCAGGCACATCTGGTAAACAGTATGTAAACATGGTAGTACACATTAAAACCAGTGTTACTATTGCTAGGAACAAGCCTTAAGCCTTATCTTAACAGTGCCTTATGCTGACTGTGTAGGGACCCAGTTATGGTCTATTAGGCTTGTTATCAACTTATGAAAACTTGCAGGCCAACTGGACCTTGATGCCAGATATCTCTTGTGGAGCTTTAGCCTGGGATTACTGCAAATATGGTCTTGGAAATATGGGTACAGGTTGAAAAATAAGGCCTCAGAACTATTAAGAAGTATCTCACTTGTGATCACTTACTCACTGTGGAAGAAATGTGACTAAATGCTGGGAAAGATTGCTTTAAATATATTACAGAAAAGAAGCAGCAGATAAGAAATTATAATTACACAGCATGAGCTCTGTGGTTTTGTATATCAACTGCTAATTTATTATTTGAATTTTAAGAGTTAACTGCTTTGAATATGTTATAATAGCCATTAAGATTTTACCATTAGCAATGTGTATTGTTAATGAATATCTCTGAAGTAAAGTTCTATTTTAAAATTTAAAACTGGCCTGTTTTATCAGTCTTGTGTATTTCTGTCAGCAGTTTCTAATTCTCTAAGATTTATATATATAACCTGCCTAGGTACATGTGGATAGTTACTCTTACACACACATATATGAATGTGCTGATGGATAAGTTGGTCATTATATTAATAATGCTCTCCAGAATACTGATTAATGTGATCATTCTTCAATTTCTTTTCTTCTGTGCCTGTTGGACTGAACACCAGTTTGAGTACCAAACTTTTTTGTTTCCTGCAACCTGAAAAAATAACTCCTTGTCCATGAGAAAGGCTATTAGTCTGCATCATAATATAAACACATCATAAATTTGCAAGAAGGGTACTGATATTTCTTAACGTTACGCTTCGAGGATTCAAGTGGTAACATATTTAGATTGCTGTTTTTTAGACTAAATTTTGAATTTTAATATTTTATCTTTAAAAGCAGGCTTTTTATTTTTGTAATGATAGGATTTCTGATGTTTGGATTAGTGTTTACTGAATCAGATTGCAGAGGCAGGCACCTCTGGATATTACTTTGCCTAATCCCCCCTTGCTAAAGCAGGGTCACCCTGAAGAGCTTGCCCAGCACCATGTCCAATGGTTTTTGGAGACCTCCAAGGAGGAAACTCTACAGCCTTTTTTGGCAGTCTGTGCCAGTACTTCAGAACCTGCATGGCACAGAAGTACTGTCTGGGGTTTGGGGGGAGCCTCCTGTGTTCCAGTTTTGCCCACTGTCTCTTTTCCTAGCACTGGGAACTACTGGAAAGAGCCTGGCCCCATCTTCTTTGCACCTTCTCTTCAGCTATTCGTACACATTGGTAGGATACCCACTGAAATAATCAAAGATACTTGATGATATACATACGTCTTCTTATTATGCAGTAAGATGCCATTCTTCCCTGTCGTGCTGAGTATTTACACACCTGCACAAATTACCCTTCTGGAAGAAAATATTCCGGAATTCTTTTTCTACACATTTCTTATGTCAGATTTTTGCCTCATACTCCACTAGCTTTGGAACAAACTCTCAGAGGGTTTTAAGGATTGACATCTCCTTAGCAATCCTAATGACTTTCAAAGCATATGCCACTGATTGTGGAAAAAACAAGAAAGAAGCATTTAAGTTCACCAGTCTGATGGGTCTCCTGATGATGGGCCTCCTGCTAATCCTCCAAAGAGTGCTCTCAAAAGAAGAAGGTGTCCTAGGTACACAAGCTTTTTCCAACTGCAAATTCTTGTCAGTATGTTGAATACTATCATCCTATTGCCCAACATTGACCAGCATACTTGCCCCTACAATGGCAATTTGCTGTTCTTCATGCAATAAATACCTTACTAACAAGCCCTTATCTCATTTCTGAGATATAGAAAAAACACCAATAATATCTAGTGTTCTTTCCTCATAGAACTCTGAAGGAGCATCATTCACCAGTTCCAAAGATCACGGACTGTCTCAACTTCAAACAGTGACTGTAAAACAGTTATGGATCTCCACTAGTCTCTTCTCCTTCCCTAGCTATCCCATGTTGGGATCAGTGATCCTGATGTTGACTCCCAGTCAATCTAGCTTTAATGGAAACAATTCCCTTTCCTTATAAGCAAATCTTTTTAACATGCACATCTGTTTCTTGCTATTATACTTGTCTAACAGAACATTAATATCTGCAAAATTCCACAGATCTTGAAAGATTTGTTAATGAGTATTCCTTGTGATTATTCAACATACAAATAGACATACAGCCAATCTTTTCCTCAAGATCTGTAGTCTACATTTATAAAATATCCTCCTATTTCTCTCCCTGAAAATGCAATCTAACATGCAGATTTTGTCATTGAAAGGAAGACAACTTTCAGTAGGTGAAAAACATGCCACACTGTCTATGAATAACTGCTATTGGCAAGTGGCCAGGCTTTTTTTTTTTTTTTTTTTTTTTTCCTGGATACATAGTCTAGAATTACTTAATTCCCCTTTAATTCCTCATTCATTAGATATTTCTAATGCAGGATGGTTTCTTTTATTGTAGCTATTCTAATGCAGCAAACCAAAATCAGAAAGTGAGAAACAGAATGAGCATCCATTTCAAATAATTTGCAGTGAATTGCACAGACTGTAGAGATATCAATAGTAGAGAACAGTAAGAAAAAGATCACACAAGTACAACTGTCTATAAGGCCCTAAATTGTAGAGTGAGCATACTTCCTTTTGTCTTTGTATGCTCATTCCTATGTCTGTTTCATTCTATCTGTGAGCTAAGGAGGTAGTAATGTAATACTGCTGCTGGGACAGGACTGCAAGCAACTAAAAGCAAATGCTTATGCCTGAGCTTGTTTCTCTAAGCAAGCTTCCGTTCTACCCTTTGTTTAACAAATGTCTGATCAATGAAGTCCAGGGCACAGCTCATTCCATTCTAGAATCACTGTCATTAGCAAGTCAGATTAGCAATTAAATAAAATCTGTTCTCTTCATAGAAGGATATGAGGTTGATTACCATGACTGCCTACATTGTCAATGCCATAACTTAGAGAAAATGAGCCATACGTTGAATGACTAGGGCATTAAAATAGGTTTATTACATCCTGGACTACATTATGCTTCATAAAAAAAATCTGTTAACCTTGATTGTAGCTTCATATTCTCCAAAGATACAGACATTTCTTATAGAAATACTAGAAAATGTGTGGGGTGCTTTAAAATGCCTAAATATTTAAGGTCATTGATATTTTATGTAACTTAAAAGCAAAGGCTCTCTGTCCATATCAAGGTGCATATAATCTGTTTCTTCATAGTTTCATTTCAAGTGTTCGTAGGTAGAAATCATCATTCATTTGCTTAATAAAGAAGACAAATATGTTAACAAATCTTTGAATACAGCAAAGAGTTGTTTTAAGTTCATGGTTCTTACCTCAAACAAGAGGAAATTTTATTTCCATGTGACTGAATTGGTTCTCAGATAAACTACTAATGAAAACAGGACAACTGAATAACAAGATTAGCGTGTAATCTACGAAAAGAGAAAAGTAAGTACAGAATATATAAGATGATAAAATGAAGCAATGCTGAGGGAGAAGGAATAGAGATCTGTCTGACAGAGTTTCCTCTTGTTCTCTCCTACTTTTGAAATGCCCATAATTAAGTCAGTTTTGTTAACAGCAAATATTTAAAAAATCAACTCAAGGCAGAACTGAGAGATGTGAGAAGACCAACAGGTCAGCTTTATCTGCTATTTACTGCTAGTAGCTAGTTTGGTCAAAAACATGATTTTTTCTCTTGACTTTCTCCGATATGATCTTTTTCTCACTTTTGCTTGTAGATATATGACATCTTTTACAACATTTATCTTGTATTTGTTGTACCCTATGTCATTCCTGACATCCATATACTTCATAGTGATGTATGATACGTAATAACACATCATTTTCATACTGTTCAAAAAACAAACAAAATTTATGGGCACTTACCAAGGCTCTGATAGAAGAATGCACAGTGGAACTATGACAAGTTTTTCCAACCACAAACTCAGAGGTTCTGTTGGGTAGACCTACAGACCTACATTTATCTCTATATGCCTGTCTATTCTTCATTGTAAAAGAAGAGTAATTAGAGATGAAAATTACTAACATATTTACTAAATCATAAACAGGTCAGACTTTACTCCCCATGTAATTTATATTTGAGGATCATAGTTCAGGATGCTACTACTTTAAGCTTTATCTTTGTAAAAGTAGATTCAATAAAGCATACAACAATCTAGTTTTGCAGATGTTTATAATTTTACTTCCTGAGTTTCCTCAGCAGTTTGATAAATCATCAGAAACTTAATTGTTCACTTGGTTTTCATTTGAAGATTTTTATTATTTTTCTTTTGAAGATGTAATTATATCTTCTCTCATTCTTATTTATGAGACTTGTTAGAAAAAACGCATGTGCTTTCCATCCAAGAATCTCTCAACAATAAGGAATTTCTAAGAGATAATTCAAATTTTCTCTAGAATTTCTTATGAAAAAAAGGAAAGATTGGAGGAATTTCTCTGTCTGAACTTTCACACCAGCCTCCTTTGTGTTCATGAAGGAAGGTGTTTTCCCGACTGTCATCAAAGCTAATCATTAATCATTTTTTCTCTCTGTAGCTGTATCTTAATTTGCCACATGATGGCCTCATTTACTCAGACACAACTATTTTAAACTGCATCTTCTTTTAGATTTTCTTTTCTTCATGTTTTGTTCGACTCCATGCAGACATTGCTTGTATTGAACTTAAAGAGCAATGTTCTTAAGATCTCTTGGTCATGGACCAAGATCCCACCCTATTCTATTCCACTCCTTTCTTTCCTATTTTTCCATCAATTTACAGTCCTGGAAGTTTTATTACTGAAGTTGGAGTTCATAAGATCTGGGATAGTGTTAAACTGAGCTACAGGCATTAACTGCTCTTCCAAGCTTGTACTATGTTAAGTATTCCTACTGAAGGTGAGCAATAAGGACAGAGAAGGTTTATCTTAGCATTTAAAGGAGATTAAAATGTTTTTGTGTGTGAAATGGTTAGATGTAAGCTGCTGATCCACACTTGGGTACTGCTGGGGCAGCCATCAATATTTTGCCATTAATTTCCTTTATCGGGCAAGTCTTTCAGCCAAGAGTAACAATGGCCTGTAATATATTGTGCTTCAAGTGATGACGCAGTAGGCACATAAATCAGCTTACAGCATATGAGTACCTTCAAGTATCAAGCCTCAGCCTATTTCTGTCATAGTTTCTCCACTACAAAAGTTGACTGAGAAGTATCAAATAAACAAAATGTGAATCTTGTCCTCTTCAGTATTTTTAGCTTCAGTATTTTTAGCTTCAGTAATGTGATTTGAGATACAGAATTTAGGTACCATTTTCCTGAGTGAATTACTTCTTTAAAAAGCTTCATATTCAACACTGCTCTAATCCTACATTGATTTCAGACAGCCTATTGTCTTTAAAGAACAGCTATAAAAATGTATAAAATAGGTTATTAATAAAATGCTACGGTTACATTAAAGCTTTTCCCTTCCAAAATAATAAGCATTACAGGCATTTTAACATGAGAAAATATTTTATTGTGAGGGCAGTTAAGCACTACAACAGATCTCTCAGAAAGGGTGGGGTCCCTCCCTTTAGATATTCAAAACCAGACTACACATGGCATTAAAAAAACCTCCCAACCTGTGCCATTCTCTGACTGCAGGAAAAGTTAGAGTGAACCATCCAACCAATCAATAGATCCATTCCCTATGGTAGCTTTCAGGATATCAAAACAAATCAATTCATCACAAGACGAAAATGGTTACGAGAATAATGCTAGAAAGTTGCTTTCTCAGCTTTTTCCCAAAAAATATCCTTAACTTTAAACACAACAAAAAAAGTTAGAAATACTTTACTACCTCTCAGATCAAAGTATCATCAACAGATGATGTGTGATTCTGTGTGTGATTGTGTTTAACCTTTGTGCGTCATTTAAGAGGAAGTTAATTGATCCACTTTTAGTTATTACTCTATTTGTCATAACAATATAATAAATAACAAACATATTGCTTACGATATATATTATATAATAATTATATATAATTATTTCATATGTAATAAAATCATAGTGTGTATTTGTCCCAAAGATTGTTCAGTTTTCTTCATTTGGTAGGACTAACAGCTTTAGTTCAAAGCCATAAATCTGTGCTGGTTCTCCACAGGAAAAAAAGCAATAGAAATGTGAAATCACTCGTGTCACTCATGAAGTGGTATAAATTAGAGATTTAGGCAAAGAGGGCCTTTTCTGTTTAATTTATTTTACCCTTACAGAACTCAGTTCAAAAATGCAGAGACAAATCTACAATTTTCTAGTTTACTGGTTTGGTTTGAATCAGTGATATGGTTCTGAGTACATTCTTTAGTCATCTCCATTTATTGTGTATTAGTTCCATTCTGAAACCTTGTGCCGTATGTGAAGTCAGTTCCTATCAAAGGAAAAAAAGAAATTCCATTTATGAATTGCCCCACCTTTTAATGGAGATCCTGGATTTCAGATCAGTGCTACAGCAGGGTCTACCAAATCTGCCAGTAACAGTATCTTAAGCAGAATTCCCTCAGAATCCTGGAGAGGTTACAGTACTGTGTGCAGGGCTTGGTGTTAAATTCCCCTTACCACTTGCTGTTCACAGCTAGTTCTCGCCTGACGCCATGCTGTTCTTCATTCCTTCAAATGTCTTCTGGTTTGAAGTCCTTTTCTTTACCTGTCCATCTTCAATTGCCTTTTCCCCTTGTTCCAACCACTGATTGCTTTGTTTTATTATTTGTTTTACTTATTTGTTATTTGGAGTGCATTTTCCCTTCCAATTCTCAAAAAATTTGGGGAGGAACAATCCAGAACCACACAGAAATGACGTTTCTAGTGAGTTGATGCCATGAAAGGACCACAGGTTTCTCAAGCAGAAGGGTAAACCAGCATCTGTATTTAGAGGTTGCTCACATGCTACCTGCAATCAGATAAGAGCTGCAACATGAAAAATTGAAGAAAATGAAGAGAGTGTTCTTGGAGAGCCAGGATAGCGATGGGACTTGGAGGGAGGGGCAGCAGCTGTGTATATCCCATAATGGCATATACCCAAATGGCAACACAGAGAGTAACACTGTGGAGGTTAACCCTGCTCCACAGTGGAAGAAAAAACAAAACAAGTAATAAATAGCTGCAGGAATGGGTAATTACGGTGCAGTGGGTTTATGTAGCACAGTTCTGGAAGTGGAGGCAGCCTCTGTGAGGAGAGGCCCCATACCAGACCCAGCCAATTCCAGGCAGCTCCAACAGCTGTGCTGCAGGACACAGCTGAGTCCCTCAGCTAAGCTAGAGCCTGTGGGAAAGGACAACATGCTATGCAGGCAGGGAGGAGCCATTTTTAAGCCTTTCTATTCTTTCTCAATCACCACAGCGATTCCCATTTGGTTTGATCGCTTCAGCCTCAGAGAGAAGGTGGGGTTCGGTGCGCAGTGTGCTGGCATGCCCTAGGTGCTGCTCCACAGCCAGCCTGGCTCACTAACCATAGAAGGTAATCATAGAAGGAGTGAAGAATACGTTAATACAGAGACTGCCTTTGGGAGGATTTCAGTGCACATACTCCCTCACAACCCTAACCAGCTCCAGGGGAAATCCTGGCACACGCCCATTATCCTTCAAGCACCCAAAACTCACTAGTTTCACACAAAATGAACAAAGTCCAACCTCACTGCACAGTTCTAGCCAAGCTAGACCTACTGACTGCTGAATAACCTTCCAGAACAGGTGAAAACATTAAAATCTGCCCTCCTGGTAAGTCAGTACATTTACTTCATCTGAGATAAATGATCAGTGTCTGATACTGAATATTTAAAAAATGAGCAAAAATTTCCAGTGAAATTTCATTGTACTTTAAAATGCATTCTACTGTTTCTTTTGTATTATTATGCTACCTTGCAGAAATGTACATGCTTTGAAATGAGATACTTCCAAGGAGTATCTCATTTGCACCCTATGCAGAGGATGCCACTGGGTTCCTGCTTCAAATCTGATGACAGGCTAGTTTCAAACAGCAAATCAGGGCAAACATTTTCAATTTCTTTTCTTTACATCCTCTCAAATAAGAATTACTGATAGTTTTTCCTGAGGTACTTTGTTTCTTGTGCAGATTAAAATGGGTTCTGAAGAAGAAATAAAGCATTATGTAAATGGAAAGAATGATAATATTGCTGTATCATATCAGAATTATGGATCCGAAGGCAAATGGTAAGTACAGTCATTGATTTCAAAATATTCTATTAATGTTTTACCTTTAAATGCATAGGCTTAAATTTTGTTGCTAAAGAACACATAAATAATCAATGTTTTCTTTCTTTGGAGAAGTCTTTGATTTCCATTATTCTCTTTAGAGAGTACAGATAAGTATACATTGTATGGGAACTGCTGAGTCACGGCCTGAACCTCTGATTAATCACCTGAGGTGAGCCTTGAGTCAGCCAGAGGAGCACAGGTGAAGGCAATTCACCTGTGCTGCTGGAAGGGGTGGAGCCAGGCTCCACCCCTCCTGGACCTATTTAAGAGCTGGCTACCACAGGGGAAGGATCTCTTCTGGAGATCCTCCTCTTTTGGTATCTTCTAGTGAGCTCAACCCAAGGGTAAGCTCTTCTACTTATTCTTTTTTGCGATCCTTGTTTGCTTTTGCCTTACTCTTTTGATTATATTGCAATTATAACATCTTGGTTATACAATACATGTAGAAGTGTATAAATATCTATATCTAAATATAGGTACTTCTCACTAAATTGATGTATCTCACTACATCTAAACATAGATGAATTGTTAACAGACACATGCAGTTGACACATCCAGGTCAGGAGAAGCTGTCTGAGAAGCTTTGCTTTGGTAGAAGCTTTGTTTTTACCTTGATGCTATGATTTTCTGTTGGGGTTTTTGAAAAGTTGGTTGCTACAATCATTCTTTCACAGAAAGGTAGGGGCAGCCATATCTGTCCTGCTTTGTTAAAAGGTTGAGCCAAAATACTGAGAAAACTGAAGTGAGAGTAGCTTATTCTCTGAAAACAGTGTAACTTTTTTTTTACTAGAATCAAAGGCCAAATCAGGTCAGATGTCCAGCATGCTCTCCTCTCTACCCTATTCATCCCTTTCAAGAAACAAAAAAAGGGTTGTAGTGGAAAAGGGATTCCACGATTTAAAGAACTGCATGATACTGTAATTTACTGTTTGCCATCATATGCAGTAGAAATCACTTAATTCCCACGTGGCTTATAGGACAGGATTTAAGATTAGGACTTGCAGTCATCAGAAACATGTCTTTGAATGTGATTACTTGAAAAAGAGTCTTCTTCCTGTTAGGACTGATGAGAGTTTATGAAACTGTTGACTGGTACTGTCCTTTTCATGTCCTTTAAAATAACTTGCACCCATTACAGTGGAAATTGATCAGTATTTGATCAAACATTGAACTTTGTAAGTCAAGAGAATCCCCATTGCAAAACAGGGGGAAGAGTGACATTTTACCTACATCTTTGAAATGAACTGCATGAGCTTAGTTGTACCTGGACTGTTTGAAGGGGAAACTTAGGTTATTCAGATAAGAGCATTCTCATGCCACTGGTCAGATGGTTTCTAAGTCAAAGACAAATTTTGAAGCTCATCTTCCTGTTTTCTTTTGCTGAAGGGGAGATATTTAAGTTCAGTTTAGACAAAGAGTTTTAAAACTTCAATGAATTGCCCTGAATTTGCCTTTGGATGGAAGTATAGTATTCTGACATTTCAGCGTTCACCAACTTGCATTCTTTGCGTTGTCAGAATAAAGCTAACTGTTATCGCTGCTGGCTATACTGTACCAAATTCTGTAAAAATGTCAGGTAAAAATAAAATATCTTTTGTTCTGTTCGAAGCTTAAAAAAAAAACAAAACAGACAAACACAAAAAGCAACGACAAAAAATATACCCACCAGCCTTATTTCTCTCTCCAAGGGAGGTAGTAAATACAACCACAAAATTGTGTAGTATTTTAAGAGTATTTAATGGAAGTCTTAAGCATTATTGTTTGAACAAAGTGCCTTTTTTTATTGACAATTACACTGCCCATTTTACTGAGCCTTCCAGTTGTTGGGAATATCCTAGCTGGAGGTTGGAGGTACACAGTTTAATCCAGAAGTGTCAACTATGAGTAGAGCGGTTTGCTTTGTCCACGTATAGGTAAATATGAATTATTTTCGTCTTTTGATCTAAAGCCAATGCCACCCATAATGGCAATCCAGTGAATATAGGCTTACTATAAAAAAAAAAAAAAGTAAGAACAAACGACAAACAAACAAATTAATGAAAACAAACAAGCCAATCAACCCATAATTTTCCCTTTAATAGTCTTAGGAGAAGGTTAGTGCTTTAAGTAGCCTTTAACTTTTTCAAGTGGAAGTAAAATTTCTGCATAATTTTAACTCTTTGGTTGACATTGACCTTGCAGCTCAGTGAGACACATTAATAACTCACCTGTTATCTTGTGATAGGACAAGATACTACCCTGCAAACTCACAGTGATTTCTCTGAAATTCCATCTATTCATTGTTTCTTGATAGTGCAAGGAATCTGATCACTACAAAGCATTGAATTCTCTCCACCTTCACCTTCTCCAAGTTTTTTTCCTTTTCCCCTCTTTGCAGTCACTACTCATTTTAATAGAGCAGTTTCTTCCAAGATCAATTCTGTACATTGAGTCTTGTGACGAGAGGGACCAGTCTGTTATAATGCAATCTAGTGGTCTGAAATCGAAGTACTGAGTTACATATGAGTGGCCTTTGTCAACCAGAACTAACAGTAGGTTTGTTTTCAAAAGCTACTTAGAAGTATGGCTAGTAGCTACCATTAGGCTCTAGCCTAGGCTAGAAAGACTCAAATGGCAGCATTTAATAATCAGAGATCTTCCCATTCTCCTCTTTAGGGAAGGAGTGTAATAGATAGGAGTGAACTTGTAGAGTCTGCAGTGAAACTTTTGCTACATTATCAGAGTTCTGCTGTAGATTTAGCTACAGTCATTGTTAATATATATATATTTTTTTAAAGTGGTGATTTTAAACAAAAGTCTCAGAGGCAGATTGTAAACCATTGGATGTCTACCCAGATAGACACTGCGTTAATATCATATGAAACCTGAAGGCTTCTTGAGAATATTTTTGATAATGTTCAGAGACACACACTAAAAGAACTTTGAAAATCCTGACTTTATATTCTTCTGGCTCCTCCCTACATCTGAACACAATTAAGAGACAGCAGTTGTATTAACAATGCATGAGGCTTGCTTTGATGTTTGCAGTGCTCTTCCTTCTTAAAATACAATCATGATTTTTTAGCAGCGAGGACAAGAGGAAACCTGAAAAAATGAATATGGTCAGTCCATTAACAGTGGTAAGTTTAATGCTATTTGTGTATTTAGCAATCCCAGTCCTCTCAGTGTTGGAAATTTTTACTATTGCAGCTACATCCAACAGACAGAGCAGTATTTGTAGATAGGCAGGGAGGGGTTGTAACATATACTTGAAATGTGACTGGTTGGAAGCACAGAGAGAAGGAAAATGAAAGCGCCAAATGAGGAGTAAGCATAACATATGCCAGACAAAATGTCTCCAAAACTAGATGTACTTCTTTAAGAACCTGGTATAGCTGCTCAATGAAATGCCTTTAAAAGGCATGCCAGAAACAAGAAAATTCGAGCTTCTACATTCTAGTCACTCTTTCTCCATTGATTCTAAATTATCATTATTATATGAATTGTTAGTCGTATCTCAGCCACTCCATCACTCAAATCCAAAATTTACATCCAGCAAGAAACAGGAGGGTCACAGCAGATTTTACAATGTAATTGCACTCATTTTTAAGCAGATGACTCAGAAGCACACTATTTTAATTTCTGTGATCTCTTTGTTTATACACAGGCCACAGTATTTTTGCATTTTATGTGCAAGCTCAGGAGGTTGTCTGGCCTAGTGCCCTTCCCCAAGCCAGGCTAACCATCACAGTGAGAGCAAGCTGCTCCAGGCCTTGTCCAGGCAAGTCTAGAAAGACCCCAGCAGTGACAATTCCAGAATTAAGTCCTGGGGCTTAACAATCATTTGAAGAAGTTTTCATTAGATACCATAACAATTTCTAACATTATACCTTTGCTTAGAACAATGTTCCCCCCCTCCTGGGGAATTAAAAATGCATGAGCTATCTGAATTAGCTTGGAAAGGAGAGGATTGGGCAACTTCAGTGCTGCACTCTCAATGATAACTGCTATAAGATTTAACAAGTTAATTCAGTTTAACAGTTAACTGTAACTCTTGGTAGACTTGGGTTTGATTCAGATTTAACTCAAATCTGCATCTTCTAGAACCTGAGATACATTTAGGAAAAAAGATTTGTATTGTAATGGAACAATTTCTTATGAAAACCGTTATTTTATTCTTAAAAACATTATTAAGTTTCTGGTTTGCTCTAGTTTTATTATTTTATATATTAAAAATTTATTCATTTATTTTGACACATTCTTTGAGCATTGTTAACACGGCGTTGTCACTCAGATGCATTTGTTGTAAGAGAAGTTTTCAGCACAGTTTATTTCCATTTTCAGTTTCGATACTCTGACCGGCAGGATAAACTCCTGATGGCGCTGGGCACTACCATGGCAGTACTCCATGGAGCAAGCCTACCCCTTATGATGATTGTCTTTGGTGACATGACAGATTCTTTTATTGCTTCAGAAAACATCACTTACCCAGGTAAAAATTCCCTAGGTGGTGATGTTTCCGCTGTGGTTAGTGGTTGTAAAGTAGTTGAATTTAGTTAGTGTTTTTACTGCCGGTTATATCTGTGGTAACATTTTCACTGCTGGCTTCAGAAAACTCTTAGTACTGTAGAGTGTATCTTAAACTAATCGTGTTCAGGCACTAGAAAGCTGACAGCTCTTAATCTTCATTCAGCATTGTGTGGATAGGATTTTAGAGAAGGAAGTTATTATCTCTTTCAGTAAAAACAACTAACAAGTTTTTCTCCATTTTTTTTTCTTTAGCAAATTTTTCTTTATTGAACAGCACATTGGTGAATTTTTCCATGGAATTTTTTTCTTCTCTTATTTTGGGAGAATTGGAAGAAGAGATGACCAGGTAATGGGAAAGTTTTCATTCACTTTGTGGCTAATCTTTCCTTGTACTGAAGATCTCAAGCAATTGTCCTCTAAAGATTAAACTACTTAATCTCACTGTAAATACTTTGTGCAACTGAAGGAGCTCATTTTTTTTATGTCTTTAGGCCAGCATCATTGCACGAGTCAGGAGAATCTTGTAGTTTCTCACTAATCGAATCTGTGCCAGATGGTCCTGCAAACCTACAGCTTTTAAGATTAGAGAGAGGCTTATTCTTCCTTTTCTCACATGTTGGGATTGCTTGTTCTCCCATGCTTGTTCTCATGACCTCTCTCACTCCTGCTCGCAGGTTCTTCATCCATGGAAACTGTAGATCCTGCTTTTACATAACTTCATTAGCTAATGAAGTTTAGAGCCAATTGTATGAAAGAAAGAAAAAACAAATTTACTGTAACTCAAAGAACCTGCTCCCTTTCTTTCCCCCTCATCATCAAAAGTTCAGGCAATGACTTAGGCAAGTCATTTGTTGGCTCCATGTTCCTACTGCACTGTAAGAATACACAATATTGTGCATTGCACAATAAATGAATTGGCAGTTTGTTTTTGTAATGATATGAAATTCTGAGACATTGCTTATGTACCTTGATTTTCTACCAGAAATTAAAACTAAATGAGATGATTATGAAGTCATACATGATGGAATTTCCATTAAATTACCATTTTTCAGTTCCCATTTAGTCTTTGCCACCACAAGCACAGGAGTCTGTCCACCTTAAGGTCAATCAAACAATGAGTGCCTCTTGAGAGGGTAAACCAAGTATCCTTTTGTACCCTTCTATTGGGAAAAAGAATGAACAATGAAGGTCAGAGAGAATAAATTTGAAATAGATTCAGTAAATATTTTTATATAGTTCCCAGTAAATATGCAGAGTTCATAACTCAGAAATATAAACTGGGTCAAGTACTTACAATGATTGTGTATTCTTCACATTTTTTGAGTGGATAAATTTGAAGTAGGGACTGAGATTCAATATGTGGTCTGCGAAAACTGTCTTCTCGTGAAGTTCTTTCATGTTAATCTAACAGTGCTTTTCACAGTCTTATAAGGTAGAGAGTACATGCTTTCATCATCTGGGCAACTCTGAGCTTACACTTGGTTGGATTCATTGCTTTCTTTCTTCCCCTTATGCCTTATCTTTTTATTTTCATTCTTTGCGCTTTTCAGGTTTTTCTCTGCTTTCCACTTCACTTGTCCTTTCTTTTTTCTTTTTAATACACTGTTTACATTACTTAAAAAAAATAAAAAAGTTCTTAAACTTCATTCATGCTTCTTAATGAAGGGTGAAAAAGAAACTTGATCTTTTTGTTCAACCTCAGGGAATGGTGTTTGTTTTGAAAAATAAGCCATGGCAGCCTGCTCCTTGTAAACTATCTATAACGACAGTTGGCAAATTCTACTCTGATTGCACAAATGTCAGCATGCAGGATAAGAATTAGGAACTGCTGATCCCAAAATTAGATGGTTACATTCTGGAACTGGAATCTAAGTATGAATATTGTGCATATTTGTCATGCAGAAAAGGTGGCAACACTGAAGGTATAACTTTCTCTGAGTTGTCATTGAAGAAGTAATTCACAATATAATATATTTTTATTTTCCAATTAATTTTTACCAAAGATATTATAAAATAACCATAAATCATAGGGTTTCTCAGCCAGAATCAATTTCCTTGTGTTTTGGCATTAATTACATGCTCAAACATTTTTCTCCCAGGTTTGCTGTTTTTTGTAGCTTCTCTATTATGCAGCAAGAATTAAGAGCAATGTTCAGCACTCATGTATTTTTAAGCCATTCATTAATGCACTAATATTTTTCAGTTTAAATATATTTTGTTTAATTGTAATAATGATTAGAAGGTTTTTGACAGTTGTTTCTAACACAGAAGCATAGAAGTTGTTTCTTCTTTTTTATCTTTTTTTTTTTTTTTTTTTGTAAGCATGGAGCCTTATTTTGTATAACTTGCACAAACAGTTTACGTTTTACATCACTTAAGCATTTTTTTTAAAATATAAACCTGTCTTCGTGGACTTTGAGCCACTTATTTTTAAATTAAAAACTTCATATTGATTTGTGAAATTTGTATAATAAGTAGCAAAATACGAAGGCTGAAATTTGATTTTGAAAGATCTTAAAAAATATTCATTGTACAGAAGAAAGAAAAATGGCAGATACTTGTAATGGTCTTCTTTTTTTTTTCTTTTTTTTTTTTGAATGCACACATAAAGAACTGCTATCTCTGGGAGCCCTGTTTGAAGCAGAATTAAGCTGTAAATCTTTTTGTTTTTTTTTCAGATATGCTTATTATTATTCTGGAATAGGAGCTGGTGTTCTTTTTGCTGCCTACATTCAGGTTTCATTTTGGACACTAGCTGCTGGCAGGCAAATAAAAAGAATCAGACAAGAATTTTTTCATGCTGTAATGAGACAGGAGATTGGATGGTTTGATGTAAATGATGTGTGCGAACTGAACACAAGAATTATAGAGTACGTATTAAATATCAGTTAATTGCTGAGTATTTAACTATTGCAAATCAGTTGTAATATCTCCTTCCAAACAATGTTATTTTATCTTATTAAACACCTCTATAAGTGTAAACATCTCATAGATAGATAGATCCTGGGCTCGTTTAGGTGGATCCTGAGAAACAGAGATGTTGGAGAATGCTGCTCCATGCTCTCTGTGGCCGCAAACTTGGAGCTATGTTGAACTGAAGATGTTAGAAACATGACGAAATACTGCCAGAGTGTGCTGTATCCAGAGAATTCATTTATATGGTGTCCACACTTCCTTATTTATTTGAATGTCGTTTGTTTTTTTCAGTGACATCTCCAAGATTAATGAAGGAATAGGGGAAAAAATAGCAATGTTCTTTCAGGCAGTGGCTACTTTTTTCACTGGATTTATAGTTGGTTTTACAAAAGGCTGGAAATTAACACTTGTGATCCTGGCACTCAGCCCTGTTCTGGGATTCTCCTCAGCTCTCTGGGCAAAGGTAGGCAAAAAGTGGGAATTTTCCTAAAAACATCAAGACTGTAATTCCTACAGCCCTGCTTGGAATTTGTAAGAATAAATGTAATCTAGCTCCTAGAGACCTGTGACCTTGTCTACATGCAGAAAGCTGTAGGTATGGGTTCATGGAATGGTATAGCTGAGGAAGTGCAGTTCATCTGCCATGGGCATTTGTTGCTGTAAAATATAAATATAATATATGCTCATATGAAAGGGTAAATAATCTGTACCTTCCCCTCCTTCACTGGATTTCCATGACAACTGCACCAAAATAACAAAGTAATGACAGTTAATATAAATAAGTATACAAATGAGATAAGGTTGCACAACTGAGGTTATGTCAGGTAAATTCTGATATGGAACTGCAGTAAATTAGGTTTCTGTGATAACGGCTGTCTGTGGGCTCTGATGCTAAGGTGAGGAGGACACTGGGGTCAGGGTATGGGCACAGGCAGACACAGCCAGGCAGCCAGCACACCATGAACCCTGCTCCAGTTGTCTCTTTGCCATCTGCTCAGCTTCCAATAACTTAGTGAAAATAGTACACGAGAAGTAAATGCAAACCCCTCTGAGAGAGAAATGGATTCTGTAGAACTGCTTCTGCTTTTGGCTAGAACTTTCAGAGACATCAGGATGTTTAGTACTCAACCTGGCTATTGAATTGTGACGCTGGGCAGCCTTGCCCTTAAGAGCTTGAATGAAAATTGTCACTCTATTTAAAATGTGCTGTCTTTTAAAAGTCTATATACATATAATAAAGTAGAAAGGAAATTCAGTACCAAAAAAATAAGTATCCATGGACATGAGAATGAAGTTTGAGCACATTCTGTTTTTCTTTGAGCAGGAGAGTTAATTCCTTTTTACTTCCACACAGATAATTTCCACATTCACTAGCAAAGAGCTAACTGCATATGCAAAAGCAGGAGCTGTGGCAGAGGAAGTTCTGGCAGCAGTTCGAACTGTGGTAGCATTTGGAGGACAGAGAAAAGAAACTGAAAGGTGAGAAAAAATTCCCTTTATTTGGCTGTTTTATAACGGTATCTAAAAGGGTTTCGTCTTTGCTGAAATTTTTATTTTCTCTTCTTTTTTATCATTTTTAAAGAGCCTCATAAGATGATGCAGAGATGGACTCCCTTTCTCTAAAAATATATGCTATTTCAGGTTTCGTATACTTATAGTGAGAGTTGTAAGCAAAAAAGGACAGATATGTGACATGAAAAGGCAAGTATAATGCAAAGGTCACAAACCAAGGGCACAAACCAAAGGCATGCAGGTGTATTTATTTATACCATGGAACATCATGCTTGCCTTCTTTTTGATCTTTTATCTACAGATAACCATCATGACTGCCATAGTTCGCAGAAGTTTTTCAAATGCAAAGTTCAGTAACATTTGTGTCATCCACTGAGAACATACACCATCCCTTCCCTGGCTTGCTTCTCCCCCGTGTTCAGCTATCACTGCTCCCTGGTCAGCAAAAGGAAGCCCTTTGGATGTCTATGGCTTGTTTTCCAGTTCACCTCAGCATCTTTTCTTTGTTACCCAGTGCTGTTCATCACCCTTACACCTCTCATCAGCTCTTTTTCCTACTTGTCCTTGAAGTACTTTCTGCCACGCATCCTTCATTTCCATCCCTCATTTCCATCAGTGTAACAGTATACTAGAGGTTGTGATGGTGAAATGCTAAATTACTGCAAAGCATTCTGAAACTATGGCAATGAGATAGATATTTATAAATCGGAAATTAGCTCTGTCAAATGAGACCATCTTGTTCTTGATATTCTACATCTCAAACTCATCTCATCCCTGGGCTGATGGCTGCTAATGAGGAAAATAATAAGAGGAATAAAAAAAATAATACCTTGATGGTGCTGTATATCTTCACTTAACGCTTCTGTAAAGCTTGTTAAGAGAGATGAGAATAGGCCTCTTCATGTCCTGCAAATCTTATATACGACATACCAACTGGGGAAAAAAAGGTCATTTCTATTAACTGTGGATTCAAGAAGTAAACAAAAAAATACTGGGAGGCTATTCTACTGCTTAAACAAAGATTGGGCATCTCTTTCCATCAGAACATCCACAGAGTCCCTGTCTACTAGTTTGTTCCTGTACCAGCACCGAACTTTTGCTTTAGTAGTTGCTTCCCATAGTTTTATTTTCCTGTGTTATTTGTAGAATTAAATCCCAAAGACTCTGAGGTATCATTATGCTAGCCCAATTGAATTAATTTCTTTTCATTTTCTCACACAATATAGGCTTTCCATTTCACTGATCATCTCTATTCAATGTCACCTTTTCGTCTAACATCACGTGTCTAGTTCTGTAAGATATTCTGGTATTCCTTTGTCCTCTCACTCATCCTCTGTATTGATCTCATCCTCTCATTTTTCTACCATCAGGAAATTTCATTTATCATAAACATTACTTACATGCCCAAGTCTAAAAGAGTGAAAACACAAATCCCAAGTCGGACAGAAGAGTTCATGTTAACTCCCTTGGCTATGATATCTCCTCACTGAATACTGCTGTTTTCCTTCGAACGATTCCTTACCTTACAATTCTTTCACAGTTTTAAAACTACTGTTAAATGAATGATTTATCCAATGCCTCCAGAATAAATTGGCATTAGATGGCATTAATGAAGCCCCAATGGATTCGTTTTACTGTGTCTGCCCTCTCTGGGAAAGACAGTCTTAAAGAAAATCAATTGGGTTAACTCTTCACTTTCAAAGCCTATGACAAATTTCATTTTTTGTAATTTTACTTTATTTTTCACTTATTTATTATTTTATTCTTTCTCTGGCAGTTATTTTTTCTAACCTAGTATATATTTTTTGTCCATACACAAGCCTGCAATTTCTCAGGTCACTATTTGTCTAACGGTACTTCAGTCCTGTGGCTTTGTTCACAATTTGAACATAATGATGTTCACAACTGGGCCACTGTTAGGTTTGCCAGTATTTTTATTACTCTGGAGTCAAGACTCCCTCTTCATCATTTCTTTCTTACTGTTTTCACCTTGAGGTCAGGTGTGATAATGGAAACACATTGATTCACACTGCATCCTGCTTTTGGCATCATTCACATTTTGTAGGTTTGTTTGTGTGTTTGTTTCTACTGAAAGTTGAGACTGAAATACAATTTTGAATCTATTGCTTGTGCAGTTATAATCTCAATACTTTTAAATTTCCAGGATTGATGAGATGAAAAACCTTTGTTGCTGACATTTGTGTGCATGTGTTCAGTTGTAATTACTGTAACTGATTCAACCTGAAATCCTTCATTTTCATCTATAACCAGCTTTATCTTAGCCACTCACTAATTAGAACAAAATGAAAAAAAGTGAATAAGCTTGAACTAAATAAAAAATTAGAACGCCTTTTATTTTTTCAGTAATTATTTCCAAAATGGACTTGCTAGTTATCACCTCCAAGAGCACACGGGTCATGCAGCTACCACTAGCATTTGATTCTTTAGTCTTAGTGTTTACATTAGTCTTTCACTGTTAAACATGTGAAACTGTGTGTATTCCCTCTGTCCATTTAAAAATCCAAGCACCAACCCAATAATCTCCTCTACATTTTCCAAAGAGATACTGTCAGAAAATTATCCCATTTTCTTCATATCACTAGCTCTCTTTTCTTTATGATATACTTCAATGCTTACACAACATTATTTTCCTTGTAACATCAAAAATGCTCTCTGGCATTTGGAAAACTGCAAAATCACAAGTTTGCAGCTGGTCAGCATCTTACCACAGCCATTTTCACTCATCCAGGACTTGGTCCAGCTTTAGCTGATCAGCTCAATCTGCCATAGCATGAAGGGCAGTCAGTACATTTTCCTCCACTTGCAACATGATCTTTTCAGGATTTGATTTCTGTTTACTAGAATGCTTCATTTAGCTTTGATGTATGCTTTGGGGATTTTATGAGTATACACAATGAAAGAAAGAAGAGTAATTCCCTGCATGTTCTGCTTTTTTCCTGCTTTATCTTTCAGATATCAAAAAAATTTGGAAGATGCCAAACGTATTGGTATCCAGAAAGCTATTTCAGCCAATATTTCCATGGGTATTTCTTTCTTTTTGATATATGGATCCTATGCACTGGCCTTCTGGTATGGAACCATTTTGGTACTCTCTGATGACTATACAATTGGAAAAGTCTTTACAGTAAGTATTCACCAGTAGCTGGACAATGTTTATGAAAAGTTCTGATCCTATGTAAACGTGTTTAAATTTTGAATCTGGTTGATGTTAGCTATCCAAACTGCATTTTTCAGTTTCTCAGCCCTGCTAACGAAGTAGATAAAAATACAGCTCTACGTGTAGTGGATATATTTCTCCAAGTTGATAGCAACATAAAAATCACTCACCACGAAGTGCCTTGTTAAAAGCCAGCCTGCATCAATAATAAGTAGAAGTTGTTGTTTTTTGTATTCACTGGATCTTTGCTACGGGGCTGAGGTTTGACATATAGGAGTCTAGGACCATGCCAGGAGGTGGCAAGCGTGAGAGAAAGACCAGTCACGCTTCAGGTACAGTTTCCTTTGTAACTAATTCAATGCTCAGTTGCAGCTCACTGACCTGAAGTCATTATCTGCGCTGATATCAGAGTGGACCTTTTTTGAAAAGGTTGGAATGCAACAATATGGCTGAAGTTTTAACCTCCATCAGAGCCTCTTAGCTAACAAGTTTACATCTGTGTTATTTCAGCAGCTCCATCGCAGTCAGGTACCAGGTACTTTGAGGAGCACTAACATCCTGCAGAAAGCAGCTGGAAAAGAGCTTCTCAGATAAATTAAGCTGTCTAAATAGAGCTATGAATAACAGATGCGTAGTGTATTAAGTCTATCTTTTCCTTTTGTTTTTACTTTTAGGTCTTTTTTTCTATATTAGTTGGATCTTTTAGTGTTGGACAGGCTGCACCAAGTATGGAAGCATTTGCCAATGCGAGAGGAGCCGCCTATGCAATATTTGGTATTATAGACAATGTAAGTATCTTTGCCATGGATGTCACTGCCATTTGAAGATGATTGAACATCAGACTTCACTTCTGAATAAAAAATGAGCAAGCCCAAAGAACTGTGCATTCAATGTCATAACATTTAGAAATTCTACCTAACAGAGTTATGTATGCGGGACAAGTGTCTAGATACTAGGATGTGAGCTTGTAAATGACCAAGATGAGAACTTCTACCTGTTATTGTTTTACTTGGTAGTTCAGAAACTCAAATTAAAGAAGAAATAGTAATTATATTCATGCTAACTCAATTAACTACCTGAAATAATACTGACAAGGGTACCAACTCTGAAAATAATTAATTTGAGCTACAACAGTTACTTATAGGACTTCTGGTCCGCACTGGAGTGGCTGGCAAGGCCTGCAGACATTTTGGTACAATCAAACCACACTGACAGAAATACTATTTTACAAGTAATTTGCCAAGTCACTGGCAGATTCACAATGACCTGGAATGGTAACTTCATGAGTTGATTAAGTGATTATTTTCAGTCCGCTGTTTGCAGTGAGGCTTTCTGTGTATGCCTTGATGTATGGTAACATTAACTTCAGAGATTTCACAGCCTTGCATTATGCTAAAATGTTGTTAGCAATCCAATGAGTGTTTTCCTTTCTTTTTTTTCTTTTATCTGCACAGGAACCTCAAATTGACAGTTCATCCAATGCTGGCTATAAACCAGACAACATTAAGGGGAATTTGGAATTCCAAAATGTTTACTTCAGTTATCCTGCTAGGCCAGATATTAAGGTATTATGCATGGAACTTATACAGATTTCCTTTAAGATAATTGTCTCTAGTATGAAAGAATTTACATCTTTCTTGCAAGCTTATATGTAAGTAAATATCATGAAGAGAATTTATCCTTCTCACTTCAGTGAACAGCATTTGGCTGAAAGCTGAAATTGCTGCAGTGTTTCCATTTGAATCTTCAGGTTTTGGACCAGGCTCTTAACTTTCATCTTACTCCCAGAGTGAGCTTCCCTGTAAATGTCCCCCTCTGTAATGAGTTTATTTCCATGTAAAAACTTTTAAATCAAAGACTGATTTCTCAGATATCTTGAGGGTTTGAAAGAGATTGTCTCCATTCATACTTGCTCGTTTTCATGTCACTGGAATCTCAAAATTCAAAATATTCTTGACAAAATGGAAACTTTTCAGGAATTTTAGTATTACTGAAATAGAGGAATGTTTGCTTTGCCTTATTCATCTGAAACAAGAAGAATCTTGGCAAGTGTGTTAAATGGAATATCACTGTGTCATGGTTTTATGTTTTTTGGTTTTCAGCATTCTGCATCATAACATCATGTAGTGCACTGGGCCTTCTAAGTTTAGAACTTCCTCACATTGGCTTCCTTCTGGGTTACTTGTAGTGAAATAATGTGAAGTTTTATGCAAATATACAAAAGCAAATACTTGTTTTTTATTGACAACTGAAAAAGAAATATCCAAGAAAATGTCTCCTACTGTCTCATTGCACAGCAGTTTACAAATCTTTCTTCTTTTGGAGAATCTTCTTTTAGAGAAAGCTACAGAGAAAAGCTCCTGTAGGCCAACAGCAGTGTAAGTGGGAAAGAAAAGTTCTTTCTTGTGACTGTTGGCACCTTCATCACCTCCCTGAGGCTGAGTAGTGGAGGGAGGAGAAAGTACATCTGCATGGAAAGCAGACCTTCACTTTTATAACACACGTGAATTGTTGAATTTTGAAGTTGGCAGTATAAGGAACAGTATCTTCACAATATGCAGTGAAACTACAAAGTCCCCCCTTCCGCGGTTTCACATGCAGTTTTTCCCTTTCCTTGCTAGAGCTCTCCTACAAAATTTCCCAGAATTTTTGGATGATCAGCAGTCTAATTCCATGGCATTATCTACTTCACAGATCTTCTACAAAACAATTCAACGTTTCCAATGCTAGTTCTAATATCTTGATAATATCTTGAAAGTTAAGAATTCTATTGGTGGAGGCTGCTGTCATTTTTAAATGTTGAGTGAGCCTGTTCAAACTTAGGCAATCATCACATTACAGCAAATGTTATGACTGCAGACATATATGAACTTTATCAGTATTATAGTCACTGATAGAACAGAAACGGGCCACAATGAGAGAAAAATCACTGAAGATGTTTAATAATGTATCAGTGGAATAGAGCCTGATTCCAAATGAAGAATACAGGGATATCTCTGCTCAGTTTGGTAAATGTGAAGGATGTTTCACTGGAGTCTTTAAAGTTTCTGCAAGTTTACTCTGATGTTTTACATCATGTTTGGCTTTTGGCAACCTTTCTTACAAGCACAGATACTGAAAGGCTTGAATCTCAAGATTAATTGTGGCCAGACAGTAGCCCTGGTTGGTGGCAGCGGCTGTGGAAAAAGTACAACTGTTCAGCTCATCCAGAGATTTTACGACCCCAAGGAAGGCATGGTAAGACTCTTCAAGTGAGCAGACTGCTCTGTGTTCTAACGGCACAGCTGTAAGAAGTCAGCTTCTGGTCTCACTGCCCTTGTTCAAATGACATGGCCCAGTCTCTCCTAAAAAAGGCAGGCTTTGGGCTGGAGAGAGAGTTCTTGACAACAGCACTTAGTAAATGGTGCTTGTCTGCTTCCCCTGCTGTAGATTACCATCGATGGGCAGGATCTGAAGAGCCTGAATGTAAGATATCTGCGGGAGATTATTGGTGTGGTGAACCAGGAGCCCGTGCTGTTTGCTACAACTATTGCAGAAAATATTCGTTACGGCCGCGAGGATGTCACCATGGAAGAAATTGAAAAAGCTGCCAAGGAAGCTAATGCTTATGATTTCATCATGAAGCTCCCCAAGGTAAGCAGGCCAGCTGTCCTGCTGAAACAATTGCTTTTCAACCTACTCACTTAGCAAAGCGTTTCTCAGAAGGGCGTCTCCTGAACAGAGGAACCTCTTCCCGGAGCTGTGAATATGCAGAGCTGTGCAGAGCTTCCTCACCACTTTTGAGATTAATGTAAACTTTAAATTATTAAATGATGGCTGGATGAGCATGTAGGAAACGGAGAGAGTTCTAGGGACACAAACAGGAAGGCATATTTAAGCAGATGCTTAACATGCAGTGTTTTAGAGGAAGAGAAGATGTTGCTGGGGCTACTAACGCTGAGGTGCCTTTTCTGCACACTGCCTTTCCTTGGTGAAGGGACCAAGCTGAGTGTTGGTGGAAATGTGTGTGCTTGTCTTGCAGAAGTTTGAAACTGTGGTTGGAGAAAGAGGGGCACAGATGAGTGGAGGGCAGAAGCAGCGAATAGCAATTGCCCGTGCTCTGGTTCGCAATCCTAAAATTCTTCTGCTTGATGAGGCAACATCAGCTTTGGATAATGAGAGTGAATCCGTTGTGCAGGCAGCGCTGGATAAGGTCGGTATTGCTTTTTTATTTGAAGAGCTGCAAGAAGTTGCAATTCCTAAAAACTTTAAAATAAACCTGAACTTGCAAATATTCACTGCTCATTCAAAGAATTGGAAGCACTTTGTATGTGCCCATGGAATTAAGTTAATGATGTTAAGAGCCAGACTGAACTTCACCAGGCTTTCCCAAACAAACTTTTGGAAATTGGAAGTTGGAAGTGTTCAATGCAGACTACTATTCCCAAGCAGGAATCCACATGGGCTATGTTCTTATTAACAGCAAAGTAATTGGTTGGTTGGGTTTTCAAGAGTGGTAGTTTTTGTTGAAGGCCGTCTAAACATACCTTTTAAAATACCTGGAGAACTGAAAAAAAATAGCCAATCCTCGTCTGTTCTAAACAATCGTGAACTGTTTACAAAGTAGTTCCACCTATTCCTCAGGCTGAATCAATCACATATCAATCACTTTTTTTTTTTCTAACTCCATTTCTCTCTCTCATTATACATCTCTGCTTATCATCCTCTAAGCAAACACAAATTATCAACATTGCATAAATATTTCCAGTACTGACCACAGTTTATCTGTGGACAGTATTTTCAGAAAGCATTTCCTCTCCCTATACTCTCTTGCCTCTGAAGAAGTAACTTGCTTTACCTGCTCTACATGGTCATGTCTGGGAGAATCAGACAACAGAATCCAAGTTCTCACCTATGATAGTCTTTTATTCTGATAATTTCTGCTTGAACACCAAACTGCCATTAGCTGCAGTGACTGAGGCTCTTTCTACTGGTCCTAGTTTCTGACAGTTCACACTGCTCTGTGGAGCTATGTGGTGTTCTCAGTGATCTTTCCCCCAAACCATGCTCTATAAAGTGAATCCCAGGGACAGTAGGTCAGAGAACTGCTGATTAAGACACATTTGATGGGATCCCAACTGATTGTTGCAATGTAAGACTTATACAGCTAGTTTAAACAAGTTACATACCTCTAACCTCTCCAACCTATCTTTAAAATGTCATATGATGAGATGACGCTCCCTGTTGATGTGTCTGGCAGAACATACCGGAAAAGCTTGCTCCAACTAGACTAGCTCTGAAATTGCTAATGTTAAGCAAGAGGAAGCCAAGTTGTTGTGTGCCCAGTATGTACTTGTCCTCCTGCTACCTACTTTCTTTTCTCTCTTTCTGTGCTGAATGCATACCTCTATAAAAGGTTTACATCAGACTACTACATAGACCACTTTTCCCTACAGTCTTTACCAAGCCTCTGCTGCATCTTCATTTACCTTTTACATGGATGGAGCATTCTGCTTTTAATGACTAAGGTCAATAGCTTGATTTTCTTCTACATTTTGATGTGATTCTTATCCTTTTAAGATTGCCTTAGTAAAGCAAAGCTTTCAGACTACCAAGAAAAGATATACCATTTGTTATAGGATGGTTTAAATGGGTGTAATTTCCAGTTCTCAAATCGTATAACAATACCAAACTGTCAGATGTAGTTTGAAAGTCTGTCAAGAATATTCCATCCATAACAGTTTTCACTGAACTATATAAAGCTTGGATAAACTCACTGAGTTATTAGATATTAATGCCAATTTATTTCAGAGCGCACTGTCAAAATGTGCTGGAAAACTATCTTTGACATGTCAAACTAGATATTTATGGGATTTATTTTTATTATTAATGAATGGTAATAGAAGCATGATTTTAAGCACAATGTTAGATTAGTATTTCCAAAAAAGCAAACATGTAGTTTACAGAATCACAGAATTGTTTTGTTAAAGGGACCTTTAAAGGTCATCTAGTCCAACTCCTCTGCAGTGAGCAGGGACTCCTACAGCTAGATCAGATTGCCCAGAGCCCTGTCTAGCCCGACCTCAACTGTGTCCAGGGATGGGGCATCCATCACCTCTCTGGGCAGCCGGTTCCAAGAGCAATTAAAATTACTTTGTAAGGGACTAATTTGCAATACTCGTGAAATGCTCTGAAATATAATTGTTACTAACATGCTAAGTAGTTGTCTTTTTTTTTTTTTCTAGTAAAATTGGATACCTAACCTGGAAGAATAGTGAATGAGCAATTAATAAACAAACAAACAAAAAAACCTTTTGATCTTAATGCTTAGAAGATTAAAAAGTAATAGTCCAGCAGGGAAAACCAGAGTACTTTGATTTGTATTAAATATGGTTTTATATTAAATATGTTTTGCAGTATTTTATTTGTTACATTTTTGTTTTTGATTACCTCAGAACTGAAAGGTAGTCTGAAATTCAATATTTCTTAATTGAAAATTCTGATCTTAATTAGAACCAAATTCTTTTCAGTTAAAATATTTTGTTTAACCTTAATATAAAGTGAAGAAATATTAAATGTACCTGACAATGCTAATGTGGAGCCATCGTTATAATGTCTGCAGATCAGGAAGGGCTGCACTATACTTGTTATCGCTCATCGTTTGTCAACAGTTCGAAACGCAGATCTTATAGCTGCATTTGAACATGGTGTCATCACAGAACAGGGGACTCATGATGAACTGATGGAACAGAAGGGAGTTTACTACAAACTTGTTAATATGCAGGTAGCTTTTTCATTATTTTTTTTCCATAACTTTCATTATGTTGTGTGGTGCTGAATTATACTTCCAACATTGCATTGTTTTCTCAGCAGAAAAACTCTAGGCAAAAAAACCTTTCCCGAGGAGTACTGAACTTCATAAGAAAAAAGAAATAAAGGTAAAATGTGCAAGTTTAACTCAAAGCTCTGAATTACAGTAATTATGAACAGAAAAGTTTTTAAGAAGTATGACATTAAAAGCAAAGTATATGAGAAAATTAAAATAAAGATTGTAGTAACAAAAATAAAGTTCTGGAACTGATAACTTCTCAGATTCCTTTTCCAACCTATAGAATCATGAAATAACTCAGGTTAATGGATCTTGATATTTTCTCTAGTCCAACTCCTTCTGAATACAGGGAAGAATCTGAGGTCCAAGGTTGCCAGGGCCATGTTCTGTTGGATTTGGAATGCCTCCAAGGATGGAGACTCCACACCCTCTGCAAGCCACTGCTCCAGTGCATCATCACCCTCACTGTGATAATAGAAACTCTTACACAAGTACTTTTCCAAATCACCAGAATTATATTGACTCAGGCTCCTGCAGTTTTGTCATTCAGACAAGTCTATCTAGAATATTTTTGTTCTCTTTCAAACTGTCTTCTGAACATCTGTTTCTATCAGGTCTTAACTTTGAAATAGCTTGTAGTCTTCATGTCTCTTTCATCATGCTGAAGACTTCTCTTATTGAACTTATGAATCATAGAATTATAGAATAGCCTGGATTGAAAAGGACCACAATGATCATCTAGTTTCAACCCCCCTTCTATGTGCAGGGTTGCCAGCCACTAGACCAGGATGCCCAGAGCCACATCCAGCCTGGCCTTGAATGCCTCCAGGGATGGGGCATCCACAACCTCCTTGGGCAACCTGTTCCAGTGCTTCATCATCCTCTTTGTGAAAAGCTTCTTCCTACTATCTAACCCAAACCTCCCTGTCTCAGCTTAAAACCATTCCCCTTTGTCTATCACTATCAACCCATGTAAACAGTTGCTCCCCCTCCTGTTTATATGCTCTCTTCAAGTATTGGAAGGCCAAAATGAGGTCTCCCTGGAGCCTTCTCTTCTCCAAGCTAAGCAAGCCCAGTTCCCTCAACCTCTTCATAAAAGAGGTGCTCCAGCCCTTAAATCATCTTAGTGGTCCTCCCCTGGACCTGCTCCAGGAGCTCCACGTCCTTCCTGTACTGGGGGCCCCAGGCCTGGGCACAGTACTGCAGATGGGGCCTCACAAGAGCCGAGTAGAAGGGAACAACCACCTCCCTCTCCCTGCTGGCCACCCCTTTTTTAATGCAGCCCAGAGCATAGTTGGTCTTCCAGGCTGCAAGCACACACTGCTGGCTCATGGCCAGCTTCTCTTCCACCATGACTCCCAAGTCCTTCTCTGCAGGGCTGCTCTCAAGGAGTTCTTCCCCCAGTCTGTATAAATACTAGGGAGTGCCCCAGCTATGTGTTGTCAGAACAGTTTAACATGATAACAAATGAGAAAAAAAAAATCTGGCTAAATTTTTTTCTCCTTTTAAGTGTTAGCACAATGACATTTTTTCCAGTGACTATAGAGAGGACTTAATAAAACGTCAGTATTTGCTTGTGGTTTTGTAAAATTGCACAGTTCCCACTAATCTTCCATTTATCTAACAGAAAACTGTTGTTTTTATTTAGAATTGATCAACATTTGAATGTACAGGACAATATGACCAGAAATGATTTTTAGCATCATACTGTGTTTCATTTCAGACATCAGAAACTGAAGATCAGTTACAGGGAGAAGACAGTAATGCATCAAGTGTCTCAGAAGGGGCACTGAATGGATCAGTACTGACTGGACAGAAAAGACAGTCCTCTCGGAAAAGCATAAAAAGGTTCAGAATGCGGAATGATGAGCTTGATGAAAAAGCTGATCAGCTTGTGAGTGTCTGTGTATTCTTACCTGCATATGTTTTCCATAACTAGTGGGACAAGAAAGAAGCATGATCCCACTCAACAGGAAGTGACTTTTAACAACATCTTTTAAAAACCACAACCTCCAACCTACCTATCTGGCTAAGGACTGATGAAATGACAGAATCACGGAGGAAAGGTTCTGGAAACACTCTTTTCCCCTGAAACTGAAATCTATTCTATTGTGATACTAGAACAGTTTAACTGAACAATATTATGAAACAAATTTACTTCAGTGTGGGAATAGCTTAAGTGTCAAGTTAATTTATTTACTTGTGGAACCAAACCAGAAACAGGAAATCGGTCATAAAAAATAGTGAATACTTATTTTTGTTTAAAATAAATATGCATTAGCAAATAAGTTATTGACAGTGAAGGTACAGCTATCATTTTGATGAATGAGCTAAAACTACAAGACATTCTTTCCAGTAGTAAGGAGCGGTTTATACAACATTCAATACCATCAAATGGAAAAAGTAGTCAAAATTCCCAATTTCTTTGTCAGGATGGTCTCACAAAGGGTAGGTGGAGCTTGTGACTAAGCCTTTGAGAGGATGTATTCATTCATTGATCTTTTTCTACTTTTTATATTGTTAATCTTGGTTACTGAGTAACAGAAGTTCTGCAGTTAATGTATTTTTAAAGTTTAATAGCTTGGATTTTCCCTACGAAGAATATGAGATAGAGAGCAGACCAGAAGTATTACACACAACTCTCATTTCTCTCCATTGATGTATTATATTTATTCTGATGGAATCTCTTTATTCTAGGATAAAAATATACCTCCATCTTCATTTTTTAAAATTATGAAATTGAATAAAACTGAATGGCCTTACTTTGTTGTCGGAACTTTATGTGCAATTATCAATGGGGCCTTACAACCTGTATTTTCAGTCATGATTTCAGATGTTATAGGGGTAAGTATAAAATCAAGAACTTTATCTGCTGTGTCTTTCATTGTTGTTTATTGTTTTCATAAACCTTGAATTGGTTTAGCACTATCGAATTAAATGCTGCATTTTTTCAATTTGCCTGCAAAGGTGAAGAGTAATTGAAGGTCCATGTTATGCTATGCTGACATGTTACCGATTTATCTTGTCAAAAATAGACCATCTATAATCACTTCAGATCCATGATCTTCAAAGGAAAAGCATCTTAACTCATCAATAAATTGACTTGTTTTCCTTTCAGTGTATGTTAAGAATACAGCATGTATGTGAAAACAGCAAGAGAAACTATTGTGTGTGAACTTAATAAAATTTAATTTTCAAAATTTTCTCCTATAGATGTTTGTGGAAAAAGGAAAGGCTGCTATGAGAGAGACAAATAGCACATATGCATTGCTCTTTTTAAGTTTTGGATTAATTTCTTTTGTCACATCTTTTCTTCAGGTAAGTTTTTGATACCATAAGTGCTCACGATATTTCATACAATGTATCACAATTGTGAGTTAAGCTCTCCGTGCCTTGGTATTGAGCAGTACATGAGAAAAATGTTGATGATATTTGACTGCCAGGTGTTCAAAAGGCTGTAAGAGGTTTGAAATGTATTCTGTGGTGTAGCCTGATCTCTGTCTCCCCAGTGAAGGAAATTTTGGCTGTGAGGCCTACCTCTAGCACAGCCTTTGGAGAAAAATAGACAGTACAGAAAGCACTGGTAATACAGCTAGCAATTTGGCAGCACAGGCCCAGATCAGATGTAGGGCAGCATTTCTGTCCTGGGCAAATGTATGCTTTATCACCTGCCCCATGTTCTGTACAGCAGTGCTGTAAGCATCTGTGCTGGTTGTGCCCCACGTGTAACTACGTGAACTGCACTCAGCCCTTCCATTTCCGAGAAAACTTGCACCAGAAGTCTCAGGAAAAAAACACACCATATGCTTAGTATGAGATTATTCACATCTCTGTACCATGGAAGTTAAATAATATTTCATGTTGCCTGTTTCCATTGTACAGGATCAAATCCTTTTGACTGTATTTTCTGAAACAGACTAAATTCACATTTGCACACCATTTTTCCATGGGTATGTGTGCTTACCAGTGTCTGGAACTACACGTGTTGTGGGAAAACTGCCATGTCCATAGATAAATCAAGTCATCTGTCATGTGAATTGATGGATATCTCAATTTACATGCACAAATCCCTTTAGCTGTTGTTGCTCAACTACTTGTGTCAGTCTTGCTTTAAGATCTGTACAAGTCTGAACACCATCTTTCCACTTTCTACCCCAGTGCCCTTGAGCTCCTCCTCCCCTCTTCTCCCCTCAAGCAGAACCAAACTTAAAATTCCTACTTCTGTGGTGCACCGGAAAAAGAAAAAAAAATGTTGGAGTAGCTGTTATGGTTATTTCTACACTAAAATGTGTCTTCCCATGTCTCCCATCTCACTCCTATATGGTCTGATCCTGCATGGCCCTGGCCCAGAATGGACAGATTTACCAGCATTACTCCTTGATCTGAGTTGTGCTGAGCTCTCTGCAGGCTCAGAGCTCTCCCCTAGAAAATAACAGTAGCACTACACTTTTTTACTGTAAGGTCTTAGAGAGCAGCAAAATCCCTGGTATTTGTGCAGTGCCTAAAATAATTGTAGGGGTTTACTGCTTACACCACTGAGCCTGTGACTAGCTTTGGTTTGAGATCAGGTGCGATTGGGTATTCCTGCAATTAAATCATTGCTTACTGGGGCTTGAAAACTGTTGTGTGATGCATACTTGTTTCTTAAAAGAAAAGCTTAATTATACTCCGTACCTTTTCAGGTTCCAAATTTAGCTTTAAAATTCTTTGGTTTACCTCAGTTGTAATTAGAATATATTCTATGTAGTGATATTCTTCTTCATACTGTATGCAGATAGTTGATTTACTGCCTGACAAAGACAAAAACTGTAATTAGGTAATTTTTTAAAAAAGACTCTTTCTCTTATGCAGGGTTTCACATTTGGTAAAGCTGGAGAAATCCTCATAATGAGGCTTCGATCCATGGCATTTAGAGCAATTCTGAGACAGGTAAATGTACGTTACTAGGCATGATATATTTAGCTTTCTAAGGCTTTAGAAGAGCTGGTTTGTTTACATGCCAAAACTGGATATTTAAGTAGACATGCAGAGATCGTATCTATAAAGATTTCACAATGATTTTTTTTTAAATTCAGTTTAAAAACTGACTGGATTATATCTTCATAACAGGTCCAAGTAGATATTTTTTAAATATTTAATTGATGTGACTGATTAAGGAAGGCCATTTAAAACCAGTATAAGAAAGCTCAATTTGATGGTACTGTTTATTTAGCATATTTAATATAATCAAAACCACCTTGGATTGAGGCCCAGAGAAAGTAGGCTGTACTTTAAGAGGCCAAATTTGAAATTCAGATCTGCCTTCAGATCTGGTACCATGTAGGATCACAAATAATACTACTGAAGGCCATAAGACCAGGATATCTCACTAGCTGCACTCACTGCACTGGTGGCTTCTCCAGCACAGCAGTCAAAGAGACACTGATGGTCATAGCAGTGGGCAGAGGCAGAAAGAGGTCTCTGCTGTCAGTGGAAATAGATTCAGTAGCAGAATGAAACTCTTTAAAATAACCAGCCTGAAATTCAAACACAGTAGTCTCTAGTAGCTAAGCAGTCAGTGTGGTGGCAAGGTGTGTGGCTTTGTGCTGATGGGCAGTTTGGCACCACCACATGGCTCTCTCACTCCTCTTCCCCAAAAAGACAAGGAGGGAAAATACAATGATAAAAGTTCATGGGCTGAGATAAGGACAGGAAGGCCATGATAGTTACTGTCATAGGAAAAACAGACTTGGCATAAGATTCTGTGATGATGGTTCTATGAAAGCACTGGAACAAGTTGCCCAGCAAGGCTGTGGATGCCTCCACCCTGGAAGCACTCCAGGCCAAGCTGGCTGTGAGCAACCTGGTCTAGAGTGAAGTGTCCCTGATTATAGCAGGGAGTTGGAACTAGATGATCTTAAAGGTCCCTTCCAACCCAAACCATCCTATAATTCTATGATTCAAACCATTCTATAAGGAAATTAACATAATTTATTGCCTATTACTAACAGAACAGAGCACTGAGAAACTAAAAGCAAACTGAAATCCCCTTCCCTCCACCCACTCTTTTCTATCTCTTGCTCCCAGGCAGTGCAGGGAAATGGGCCTGTGGTCATTCTAGTGCTTCATCTCTGCCACTCCCTCACGGTCACCCTCTGCCCCTTTTCCACATGGGGTCACTCCCATGCAATGCTGCCCTTCCCATACTGATCCTGCATGGACTTCCTGCAAGCTGCAGCTCTTCAGGCTATGTAATAAGAAAAAATACATTTTTTGTTAATAGTCTTTGCAGATGTCTGTTACACATCCAAATATTTTTCCTCCAAATGGCAATTTCCTTGGTATTCCTCTTTAGTGAACATCTGATCATAAAAAATATACATTAAATTCACAAGCAAAGATATCTTGTAAAACTGTGTTCATTATGAAATAATGTGGTAATGTTTATGTCCTTACAAAAAGCATATACATATTGTTAGCTTAGCTTTGAGTTTGGAGATCCTGTAACTTTACTGAGCCTTTAGGTCTACTGAATTTATAGCTGCACTGAAAATACTAGAATCACGTGTCATCCAGTCATAAGCCAAAGTGATTAAGTTATCTTTAGCCTAATTAGGTGATGTAGAGACTTAATTTTTTGAGAACATAATAAGTGTATTTCATATCATAGGAGATCAGCTGGTTTGATGAGCCTACAAATAGCACTGGAGAATTAATTACAAGACTTGCTAATGATGCCTCACAAGTGAAAGGAGTAAGTAACATGCACTGGCATTTTTCATACCTCATTTAGCACAGAGTAAGTTACAGAGGGGATACAAGTGGTAGAAATCCTGCTCACTACTCTTTGGAAACTCTTATTTAAAAAGTGTTTGGGATACCAATCTAGCTGTGGTGTCCCTGTTCATTGCAGGGGAGTTGGACTGGATGGCCCTCAGAGGTCCCTTCCACTGTAAGGATTCTATGATTCTATGTTTGGTGTCACACAAAAATTTAACATCATAGCAATAGCTAAGGTAGATGGATAGATATCTTCGCAGTATGATAATGTGGTAAAGATTTAGTTCATACTGTTCAGTCCTGTTAACACCAGTGTAAATGAGCCACCCAAGGCATTCATGTATTTATTTATCCAACTTGTTTAGATGTCTAAACAGCACAATTTCCATACTAAATGCCCAGCTCATCAAAATGCATAAAAATACATCTCTAAATGAGGATTGTTGTCATTGCATCACTGTGTGTTGTTCAAGTTGAAAGTTTAAAAGTTTTTAAAATTATCAGTTCAGAACCATGTACAAAAGGTATGAGAGTTATGAAATACCATTGTTTTTTTCTTGAGCAAAACATGAAAATGAGGGCTGTAAGTCTGAGAGAAGAGATAGAAACAGGAGCAAGAGTGGGATAGAGGACTTGTGGGAATGATCTGTATACTTAAATAGTTTTCAAACAGTTAAGAGAAATCATTCAATTTTGCAAACTATTTAAAAACAAATTAAGTATTTTCAGATGTCTTCTGTTAAATAAATCACAATTACCTAATAGACAAATATTTTGTACAGTTTCAAAACAAAGCCATTGCAATAATGATTTTGTTCTTTTTCAGGCTACAGGTTCCAGACTGGCCTTAGTTGCCCAAAACATAGCTAATCTTGGGACTGGGATTGTTTTGTCATTGATCTATGGCTGGCAGTTGACTCTTCTGCTTTTAGCCATCGTGCCAATTATTACTATTACAGGAATGATTCAAATGAAGATGCTTGCTGGACATGCAGAAAAAGATAAAAAGGAACTAGAAACCTTAGGAGAGGTGGGTTCAGTGCTGTTTTTGTTTTTTTTAATACCTACTTTCATACTGTGCTACATAGTGATAATTATAGAACATTGGTATTGGATCAGTAATATACTTCTCAAACTCATTTTCTCAAAGCATTGTTGTACTGACAAAATGATGGTACAGAAAACGTGAAGCTGAAAATTGAAAACATGAGTTAAAAGTTAAGTGCAACTCAAACTTAACAAGCAAAGTCTCACAAAGGAGTATTCCTTTGAATCCGGTGCAATTTTTGCATTACGAGAAGACTGCAAGGAGACTTCTTTGCAGCCTTCCAATATTTAAAAGGGATTATAAAACAGAGGGGAATCACCTTTTACAAGCGTAGGCAGTAATAGGACAAGGGAGGATGGTTTTAAGCTCCAGGAAGGAAGGTTTGGATTGGATGTCAGGGTGAAGTTCTACACAGAGAGGGTGGTGATTTGCTGGAACAGGCTGCCCAGAGAGGCTGTGGATGCCCCATCCCTGGAGAGGTTCAAAACAAGGTTGGATGGAGCTCTGGACAACCTGGTCTCTTCCCAATTCTGGAGGTTGGTGGCCTTGCACATGGCAGGGGGAATGGAACTTGATGATCTTTGGGGTCTCTTCCAACCCAAACTGTTCTGTGATTCTGTGATCTGGAAAGAGGCACAGAATTTTGATTGAAGATTGGAAATCATATTTGCTTCCTTTGCAGTAAGGGCTGATAATTCACAAATCCAGAGATATTCTGTTACACATTAAAATACAAAGTTAAAAGGTATTTATTTTTAAAATAATATATACATTGAGGAAAACAACAACAACAACTAATTATTTACTTGGTAGGACAATCAAGAAGAAATTCAAAATGATGTCACTGATTACTCTTACAGTCTTGCCAAACAAGTAACCTTATGCTTTCTTATGCACTGGAATATTTTGAAGTTATTTCATAGTCAAGTTGATTACAGCTGCTTATCATTGTTGCATGCCAACTGCCTTAGAGACTATTTGTAAGAACTGTTACATGATTGTGAGGCGATGACCTGAATACCTGCCTTTGACAGACTATAAATTTAAATATTTTTTTTCAGCTCCACAGTTTCTGGCAAAATTTAAAACGTATTTATTCCCACAGCAAATCAGCAAAATGTTTCACTTTCAATATATCAAGCAAATGAGAAGGAAAAGAAAAGAAGTACCACGCATCTATTTTAGCTCTAGGTAAAAATCTTCTCTTTAGAAGAGAGTTTCTTCCTGGAAAAACATCAAGGAAGAAGTGGCATCTTCACACATCAGGGACAGAAATAAACTATTATTGATAGGTAGTACAGAATCAATACTCATTCTTTCCTCATCAGCATGAGCGTTATTCATACACGTATAATGGAACCAATTATCTCCATTTATACAAAAAAAGAGCATATGACATGGAGTTAGGGTTGGGGTTATGATTAGGGTTAGAGATAGGGTTGGTTTATGTATAGAGTTAGGCTTGAGTCAGAGTTGGTTTAAGGCTAGGGTTGAATTTGGGTTGATTTAGGATTGGGGTTGAGTTAGTTTTAGGGTTAGGGCAGAGAGCTTCTGCAGAGGCAGTGGGATTTTACAGCATACAAATCTCAGACTGGAGATAGTACGTAAAAAGATGAGCTTAAGTCCTAGATGACTCTCTAGGGAAAAGATAAGGATCGTTTTTGTTGTTTTTTTTTTCTTTCTGGTGAAATCAGTACATCGGAACAAAATTACTAGATGGAGCTAGTGCTTCATGAATTTACTTAGAAAAAAACACATTTCTATGTGTTTTACATTTTGATTTTTTTTTTTTTTTTGCTGAATTGTTGTCTAAGCCTGAACAAACTGTCTATATGAAAACATTTTCTGATGATATTAACTGCAAGTAATTCGCCTTTACACTAGGGGAGTATTAAGAAAATGAAGATCTGAACTTTCACTTGTTTTCAGTCAAGTTCAAGTGCATAACATCATTAATCATTTTGGAAACTTCTACCCCTATTATTTATCTTTTCAATGGCAAAATGGGAAGATTTGCAGGTGTAAAATTAATAGGAATTAGCTGCCAAGCTGTCTTATGGGCCAGGAAAATATATATTTATATTTTTATGAATCGGCAGTAGATTTGATTTTCTCCTGTCAGAGTTTTGAAAGACTTCTGGTATTGCAAAAATGCTGGGAATGCAAGCTGGGAAAGGTTGTTTCTTTTAGGGTGAGATCAAGATTTGTGGCCAAATTCACTTGCAGGTGATGGAGGCTTGTTCAGTTTAGTCAGACAGGGTACTAACAGCAATTAAATCTGGATAGCAGTTGCAAAGGCCTGCTGCAGAGTAAGCTCCCATTGCTGTCCTGTACTAAAATGTATGCTGTCTCAACTTCACTGCTATAATACATGCTTCTTGGATTTTATTTATCAGAGGCATATCTACAAATATTGCAATCATTCTCTTTCAACAGTATTGTAGTTATGTTCTGCCACTTCTATCACAGTCATTCTAAATTCTATTTTGCAGATTAGGCTTAAAAATTTCTGTATAATCTTGTTTTTCTGATATTACAGATTGCTTCTGAAGCCATAGAAAATATTCGAACTGTTGTTGCTTTGACTCGGGAAAGAAAATTTGAGTACATGTATGGACAAAATTTGCAGGTGTCATACAGGTAATAAAAAGCTTCTTGGAAAGGTGTTACAATATTTCTTTTTAAAATTAGCACAAATCACAATCAGCTGAATCACATCTATTTTCTATCAACGCATCATGAAGGTTTTAAATCCAAACTCAGCTTGAACATGGAAAATATGGATTATCTTCCTATTCAAGATAGCAGTCTGATTAAATAACAATTTTCTTGAACCCTGATAGTAGGGATATTAGCTGCCATAATTCTTGAAATGCAAACCTTTAATATTTCTAATTATAATGAGGCCTTCATTCTGAGTAAATACATTGCATAGCAAGCCAAAAGTCATGTTTTGCCTGTAAGCTTAAGCTTAGGTAAGATCCCTGTTAAAATCACTGGGGCTTTTCCAGGAGGGAACCTGAATGGCAGAGCTGCACAGCAGTTCAATTATTTGCACGCTCTGATATTTTATCAAAGTACTGTTGTAGATCATGTGAAACCTCATGAATGTCACAACCTATTTTAAGATTTTTGGTTCAACATAAGAAAAAGCACAATCATTTGTTCTGTTGAAGTAGTTTCTGCTCTGTAGAAATTCTGAACTTCTTGATGATTATTTTCATGTTAGGTGAATCTTTAAATTGTACCTGTATTATTATTTTTTACGTTGTTTTATTGAATGCATGCAGTGAAAACAATACCAATTGTGCATGCTCAAAATATTGAGTCATTTTTTCTACTGTACCAATATTGTCATGAGTTTCTGAAAGCAGAAAGAAAACAGAAATTATGATGTTTTAGGTTACGACTGAGAACTGGAGATATTTTACTTTAAGCTAATAAAGACTTGTGGATTCCTCTGAGTTTTATACAACACTCTTCACATTCTTGGTTGCTACAACTGAGTGCACAATAAAATTCTGATAATATATTTTTTTCATTACAGAAATTCTGTAAGAAAGGCACATATCTTCGGATTTACTTTTGCCTTTACACAAGCTATTATGTACTTCACTTATGCTGGATGTTTTAGATTTGGTGCATATCTAATAAAAAATGGACATATGCAGTTTAAAGATGTGCTTTTGTAAGTATTTCCTCTTTAGGTTCTTTTGGGTCCATGTGGGAAAATGTTTGATTTTCCTATAGGTATCATGAAGTACAACTGAAAAAAAAAACAACAGCTAAATACTTCCATCCTTACACTCCCCCTCCTTTCTCACGTTGCGACAAATCCAAAATGTGTCACTTTTAGACTGCATTTTCTCATGATCAGGTTACACAGGAAGGCAAAATGATGTTAGGCAAGGTGAAGCCATCCCTTGTTTTCATGACCAACAAGTTTTCTTTAACAACAGAATCACATGGCCTAGCTGTAGGGAGCGTAGGTGGGCAAGACTAAAAGATAAGTGGAGCAAGTAAGGAGTGAAACAAAAGTGAGGAAATTATGAGCCCTGAGGCAAGAGAGCAGGAGAAAGATTCAACAAATGCCCATTCTAAAAGATGCCCAGGTAGAGTTGAAAAAACTTCTTCAAGTGCTAGCAGTGAACTGATGCTGTTTTTTGTATCAGCTGGCACCTTTCCACTCTTTTTCCTCCCTCATCTCCAACATCTAACCATGTCTTCCTTCAACTCCCTGCAGATGAAATTCGTATCTATATTTGTCAATAGTCACGTTGTCTTCCATGCACATCCCATGCTTTGTTTTAGCACTTGCCACACTCTTGCCTGGCAAAAATTATTATTGAAGCTAAACGTTCATCTTACACTGATTACGGCAACACTTTCTCAAGCTATACCTTCATCTTATCCTGATTACAGCAACACTTTCTCATGTACAAGCATTAGCCTCCCTTTCGCTATGTGCTCATGTGAATCCCTTCTTGTGTGCCTATTCTTGTACTGCTCATTGCTAACTCCAAATTTCATGCTTGCATCCTTTGCCCCTTTGCCTTTTGTTCCTGAACTCAAGGACTGGACTTTGTGGGCCCTTCAAAGGAAATGTTGAGTGACAAATTTCTCCGTAAATCTCCAAAACTAATAACTACAGTTTTATGGATGAGGAGACTGTACTGCAAGGAACAACACATCCTACCACACCTCATGCATTGAGAATAGAAATAGAAAGCAAAACATCAACTTCTAATACATCCGGCTGAGTGGACAAGAATGGGAAGCTACTGCCCTCCCTGAAAAGAAATTATAGATTTTCTCAGTGAAGGAAAAATTCTCAGGTTTTTACCCTCTCTCACCCTTATTAAGGATAAGTCATCTGTCTGAAGACCCTCCTCTGGCCATACAAGCTTTTTGTGCCTGTGCTGTAACAGTAACAACAGTTTTCTCCTGTTTATTTTTACAGTGTGTTTTCAGCTATCGTATTTGGTGCAATGGCATTAGGACAAAGCACTTCTTTCACACCAGACTATGCCAAAGCCAAGATGTCAGCTGCTCACTTGTTTCTGTTGTTTGAAAGAGTACCATTAATAGACAGCTACAGTGAGGAAGGGGAGAAACCTGTAAGTAAACACGGTGCTATGTGCAGTATGTCATGCACCACTACTTTCTTTTAAGCCTGCTTTTTTTTTCTGTCATTCACATCAAAGCCACCGAGAACAAGTACAGTGTGAGCTCATTAGCATCTGAGTCGTTCAACCAAACTGAGGTTTAAGTTTTTCTAGCTCATCACCTACCATCCTCTCAGCTTCATTTGCCTCTTGGTGAAGCACCTTGAAGATGCACTGAGAGTAGGATTAATGCACCAGAGACAGTTTTTACAGCCTTTCTTGTCTGAAGCTACTTAAGCATGGATCTTGAACCTATGAATAGGCCCATGATATTTACCACTGATTTTTGAGGCCTAACTAATTTGCAAATTGCCCATAATAGATTGTCATATATTTTGATAACCATCAATGTGTATGAACACATATATGTTCATATGTGGCCTTTCATGTAATGAAGAGGATAGAATGTATCAGAAAACAATCACATATATGTAATAAAAACATGGTACTATATATACATATACATATACATAAAAGAGCTGCTCTGAAAGTAATGCTTCCTATTTCATGGCATTGGCCTGTGATGTCAAGGCAGATGTTGGTGGTATGGCAGTAGAGGTTGAATCTTCCTGCCAGTATCCTGTAAGATTTTGTTGCTGTGTGACAGATGGCAGCATAGTGGTAGGCAGTTTGACAGCATGGAGTGTGACACAGAAGTGAATATTATGCAAAAATGTGGAACTGAGTTCCTCCATACAAAAAAAAAATCACCCATTGATATTCCTTGAATCTTGTTGATTGTTTATGTAGATCAAACAGTTGATGAGAGCACAGTGAGGTGGTGGCTGGTGTGTTGCAGCAGTGGCAACTGCAACATAAAACACAAACCGTTTCGGAAGGCAGTGCAGATTTTTACGAGTACGCAGTCACCATCATTGGTGAAAACACATAGCTAGTGGTGGTGACTGTTCAAAAATAGTATTTTGTAGCTGAGAATTTGTTCAATCAAATAATGTTCAATCAAATAATGTGCTCTTTGTATCTGTTGTAGTTTCCATGTAAATACAATAAATAGGAGTAGTGCACCCTCAGTAAGTTTGTGGATGACACCAAGTTGGCTGCAAGTGTCAATCTGGCTAGGGGTAATGAGGCCCTACAGAGGGATCAGGACAGGTTGGGCTGATGCCAATGGGATAAGGTTCAACAAGGCCAAATGCCGGGTCCTGCACTTTGACCGCAACAACCCTAGGCAATGCTACAGGCTGAAGACTGTGCAGAGGAAATGGACCTGGGGTACTGATTGATGCTCGGCTGAACATGAGCCAGCAGTGTGCCCGGGTAGCCAATAAGGCCAGTGGCATCTTGGCTTGCATCAGGAATGGTGTTACCAGCAGAAACAGGGCAGTGATTGTCCCCCTGTACTCAGCTCTGGTGAGGCCGCACCTCAAGTACTGTGTCCAGTTTTGGGCCCTTTGCTGCAAGAAAGACATTGAGGCCCGGAGTGGGTTCAAAGAAGGGCAACAAGGCTGGTGAGGGGTCTGGAGCACAGGGCTTATGAGGAGCAGCTGAGGGAGCTGGGATTGTTCAGTCTGGAGAAGAGGAGGATCAGGGGAGACCTTATTGCTCTCTATAACTACCTGGAGGGAGGTTGTAGTGAGATGGGGGTCAGCCTCTTCTCTCGTGTAAATAGTGATGGAACTAGAGGGAATGGCTTCAAGCTGAGCCAGGGGAGATTAGGCTGGACATTAGGCAATACTACTTTTCTGAAAGAATGGTCAGGCACTGGAATGGGCTGCCCAGGGAGGAGGTGGAGTCGCCGACCCTGGAGGTGTTCAAGGAACATTTGGATTTTGTGTTGAGGGACATGGTTTAGTGAGAACTATTGGTGATAGGTGGATGGTTGGACTGGATGATCTTGAAGGTATTTTCCAACCTTGGTGATTCTGTGATTCTGTGTTACTTTTGGAGTGACCTATTGTAGTGAAAATGCTAAGTCATAGCTTGAACCAATGATTGAACACCTGGTGGAAGGCAGGGCCAACCCAAGGGAGCTCAGGTGTATGCAATGTACCTGAGTGATCAACGGTAAGGGATGCAGCCAAGATCCACGCCTTTCTAGACCTCATTTAAGGGTTGGCAGTGGAGGGAAAGGTATTTTCTTGGAGATCCCTGCATACCTGAGGCCTTCTGAAGGTAAGCAGCTTCTTTTCTTTGTTTCTGTGCCCATGGCTGTTGCATTTGAGCAAACTCTCATTGTAATCTGGGATCTTGCTGCTCTGCTGTCATTGCTGCACTTTCCATCATGTTACACCTATGTGTATACAGGCATGTATAAAAAGCTGTTTTTCAATATAGTCACCACTGTTGTCTAGGCATTTTTGCCAGCAATAAGGAAGAATCTGTATGCTGCACTCTTAAAAATTTGCACCATTGGAAGTGATCCACTATTTCACAGCTGCTATGATGACATTGTTGCTAAGAAAATGTTCCCTGTGCTGTCCATTTTCTCAATCAGATGGAAGTCAGTAGGCACCAAATCCAAATATATGGTAGGTGTTGTAGTACAGTCCAGCCAAGACTGGCAATGTGTTCTGCTGTCTTCAAATGGGTATGGGTATATGTAAGAGAGAGGCTGTCTTGTTCTCTGGCCTGATTCTGAGACTTGGAGCCTTCAGTTTAGTCATTGAAACATTGTAGCGGTCAGAGTTGATGCTCTGTTCTGGCTCCAGAAAATCAAGTAGGATCAGTCTTTTCCTATCCCAAAAAGCAGTGCACATCACTTTACTCACATCTTGAACTTTTTCTTCAATGGGGAATTCACACGTTGCCACTCTACAGGCTGCAGTTTTGACTCTGCCTCATAGTGGTGATAACTGTGTCTCATCACTGGTAATACATGATCCAGGAAACTGTCGTCTCCAGCCATAGAATCATAGAATTACTCAGCTTGGAAGGGACCTCAAGGATCATCAAGTCCAACCACAGCCCAACCATAGTACCCTAACTCTGACAACCCTCTGCTAAATCATATTTCTGAGCACCACATCCAAACAGTTCTAAATGCATCCAGGGGCAGTGACTCAACCACCTCCCTGGGGAGCCTATTCCAATGTTTAACCACCCTTTCTGTAAAGAAGTGTTTCCTAAAGTCCAGCCTAAACTTACCTTGACTCATACTTGAGGCCTTGTAATGGTTCAATGGTCCTGACTAACTTGCATATGGTGTTCATTTTGTTCCTGTGTGAACACTTCTGGGACCCACCTGGCACAAACTTTGTGATACTGTGGCATTGTCACCATCGTTTCCATCACGTTGAAGCTGATGTTCAGCTCTGTATGCATTTTGCTGCTCGTAATCTGCTGACTTGTGTGGATTGAGACTCTTCATTTTGTAGTGTGGAAATTGTACATGACCAGAGGATGGCTTGTCTTTCATGTAGTTGTGCTGAAACGCACTACTCACTGCCTCGCTGTGCTCTCATCCACTGTTTTGTTTCTGTAAATGTTCAGCAAGCATCAATGAATGTCAATGGATGTAATTTTTTATGCACGGAGGAATTCAGTTCCACATATTTGCTTTATATGTCAGATGCCATTTTGTCAGCCTGCCCCTCTGCTACCATCTGTCATATGGCAATGAAATGTAATGGGATATTGATGGGAAGGTTCAACTTCTACTGCAATATGCTGTCAACATCTGCCTCTGACATCACTGGCCAACACAATGGAATAGAAGGCATTATTTTCAGAGCCGCCTTCGTGCACATACATGTGTATATATATATATATATATATATATATATATATATATATGCATTTGCCTTTGTATACATATGTGTTTTAGAGGAGACTAGCAATGATGTCTCATGAAATATAAATTTAAGCTAAAGTGTTAATTGGTTGCTTGCATCTGTGTATGTTTTCTTTTTACATATAATTATTTATATGAACTAAATTGCTTATTGTGTGGGCATTATCCTTATCACAAATACCTATTTTATAGTAAGTTAACTTGAAATAAGCACAATCATTCTACTTAAAGGTTTATGGAATCAAATTTTAATTAAAATATACTTGCGGAGTAGAATATTTAGGAGTGAGTTTGTATTTTTGTAGCAGCTGCTCACTGCATGTTAATTTCTATGAAGAAAAGAAAGGCCTGAGTCACAGGAAAAACTCCCAGTGGTCTCTCCTAGGAATGCTTTTCTTAGACTCTTATTATCTGTTACAGTATACGTTTTTATGTTAGATTATCCTAAAAACATCTCATTTATTTCTACCATTTCAATCAGAAAATATTTGGTGGAAACATCACATTCAAAGATGTGGCATTCAAATACCCAACCCGCCCAGAGGTCAAAGTGCTCCAAGGCTTGAACACTGAAGTAGAAAAAGGACAAACTCTGGCCCTTGTTGGTAGCAGTGGCTGTGGGAAGAGCACTGTTATTCAGCTGCTTGAGAGATTCTATGATCCGCTCAGTGGAGAAGTGGTGAGTGTTCCCTGTAGAAGTGCAGGCTGTGTTGTATGTGATACACGTTTAATGAATTCTACTCATGTATTTCATTTGATACTTTTTCTTCTAAATCTCCTTAGGTATTTGCTGGTATAACAACTCACTTTTGTTGGTATTTCTAATATCATTTACATGGATTTTCAATATTCTCTATGCAATCATGGTGAAAGTACAGTAAAATTCCTAGATTTCCTGTGCTGTTTTGAGTTACTAGAACAAGGTCCAGTGGAGAGAAATTGTTACATTGACCTGACCAGAGCCAGAAGCAGTATCATGGAGGTTCAGTTTTTGTCCCAGTCCAGACTAATTGATGGAAATTGCTGTTTTCAGTAAGATGAGTGCAGGTTACAATTTGTAAATAGCAGCCCCTTCTTTATATTGTATCCTAGAGCTATTTGCTTGAGATCTTTGTATTTCTTTTATTTTTAATGCTGAATATGTGCTGTAACAAAGAGAAAAGGATACCAAGGCAAATTTGTAAGGGCTGAGGCCTGTTCTAATTGTAAAGAGCATAAGCAGACTCTCTCACCTTATTTCTGTTCATTTCTATGATCACCACCCTTACCAATGTACATGTGTAGCAAAGGTCTTGACAGCTGATCCATTCTGAAAGTAGCACAGCTGATAAAATGCAGTTCTATCTGTGACTGACTGCTTGTTTTCAAGATTCATGAAGCCATCGCAAACGTACTCTGGGTCATTTATTTATCCATCTCCAGCCTCAGAAAGAGGCTGCGCAGATGCACGTGGCATCTGCTGGAAAGAGCAGAATGTAAACTTTCCCACTTCTTACCTGCCTGGTAATTATGATTTAAAAAAAAATAAAAATCATTAAGACACACAGGTTCTAAGAGAGTTGTTAAGGATTTCTGATTTTATTGGTGCTATAGCTAGACAGTAATTATACTCACATCCACCTACTGCTATTGATAGTACACAAATCACCTCAATGCACCATGGTTTCTAATAGTCCAGGAACCTGTGGCTGCAAAGCTGCTTGCATACACAGCCATTTTGTTCCTGACTGTAAGGCAGAAATGGTTATATCAGATTTGGGTAGCTCTGGCTACAGGAAGAAGAGTATTCTAAGAGAAGTTCTGCTTTCAGCTCAGGATTGAGTTCCAGACTAATTAGTTCATTGCTGGAGAACTGCAGTTGGGTTTTTCCTGCACCAGCAACTCCTCTAACAGCAGCACTTGGTGATAAAGTTCAGTGTCCTTTCTCATCTATCAGGTACAAACTGAGTAGTGAGAAAATGAGATGGGGTGGGGGGAGGGAGAGAAAATCTAAAGGTTTCTTCTTGGATCTTGAAGCATGACTCATTAGTTCTGCTTTAGATGGAAGTCATCAGGACAAAGTAGAAATATGGATCCGTATTTTTGACAAAATAAGTCATCCCCCTAGCAGAGACAGTTAAGCATAGAACTGTGGATACCGATGTCCAGAAGAGAAGGAGCTCCAGTGCAGATACTCTTTCACATGTATCTCATTTTACACAAGCAAATGGTGGTAGAAGATTTCTCCCTGAGGTGCGAAGATGATATTCAGTTATGGGGTTAGGACTCTGTGCCCATTACAGCCCCCATTAAAAGTCATTTGAGAAGCCAGGACATCTGGATTAGGAAAACAGAGATGGGATAAAGCTGCTAATAAGGGGAGCAGAAGCACTATGTGGTATGGATTTTTCTTTTGGTTTCTGAAATAGATATTTCTGTCATGACTGTAGTACCGAATGTCTGTAGTAGTGATACTACGTTGGCAGCTAAAGTAGATCCATATCAGCTCTTCTAGATGGGGTGATAAACAAGTAGGGAGCAGTGAAATGGCTTCATATAGCTGGAGTTTGTCTAGGTTTATAGAGATTTCTGGTCATATTCTGCTGATTGTAAACATAGATAAGCTTTAACACTCATCTGCCCACCTCTGCTGCTGCCTGGAAGTGTGTAATCCAACACTGAGGGCATGAAATGCCCTGGCCGCTAAAGGCTGCAGTGTTGCTAGATAAAAAAACTAAAATATCTGATTAATAGTAATAAAGCCAAAGATAAAGTATTGTGATCGTAATATCTTCTTTCTGACCTTTTAGCTTCTGGATGGCCGAAATACAAAGACACTAAACATCCAGTGGCTGAGATCTCACATTGGTATCGTCTCACAAGAACCAATCCTGTTTGACTGCACCATCGCTGAAAACATCGCATATGGGGACAACAGTCGGGAGGTGTCCCATGAGGAAATTGCTAGTGCTGCAAAAGCAGCCAATATTCATTCCTTCATTGAATCACTACCAAAGGTAATTAGTATTCATTTTCACATTGCAAACTGGGGGAAAGTATAGTGCCTATATTCATGTTTTTCTAAGGAAATACCTGTAAAAAAAAATTTCATTTTTCCACAGTTTACTGAATTTGACATTCATATTTGTTTGGTTTGTGGGGTTTTTTTTGTTGTTGTTGTTGCTTTTTTTTTTTTTTTTAATCACCTAGAAGATCTGAAGAGCACATAGAAACCTAGGAGGTGCTAGTGGTTGTAGGCATTACTCAATTCCAGTGCTGCCGATGCCTGTATTGGAGATGTCTTCATCTCTCCAGGAGTAGTGTCTGTTAAATAGTGGCTTAGTTGGTATTGGCACTCTGGCAAGTTTTAGATGTGCTGCATGGAAGAGCAGAAGACATAAAAAGAAGTGCTGGAAAAGAAGATGAGTGCTCTCCTCCAGTTAAGTGAAAGCAACGGGAAAATGCTAAGGAAGCCCCAGAGCTCTGCTTCAACAGTCATCTCAATGGACAAGTGTATGAAGACACCCATGGAGCTGGCTTGTGAAAATGGGCAGAAAGACATCGTCTTGTTACCACTTCAGTCTCTTGCTTTTCTTGCTCTGATAAGTTGAATTTTGGTATAAACTAAGCAGCACCTTGAAGGGAAAACAGTTCTAGTTGTGAACAATTATGCTGGGGAAAGATCCCAGACCTGCAGGTGTTCTACTGAGCAGCAGCTGCAGTGAGCGCAGGCACAGAGCCTCCCAGCTGCTGCTCAATAGGCTGAGGCCTGTCTCCTTACTCCTGTAGAAAATGTGGAGACGTATTTCTGAAGCAGTGAATTCCCACATGCTTAGGAGACATGGTCTGATCTCTCAGACACAAGATGTACTTTTGTTTACATAGTAGACAGTCAAGAACTACAACAAATAAGGGAGTTGGAATCAAATTTCTTGAGTAACTTTATTATTTGCTTTAAATAGGGATTGGGTTTTGAATTTGAGCGGCTTCCAGTTCATCCTCAGTTACTCACAATGTCTCTTAGGCTGCTTTTTTTTTTTTTTTTTTTTTCTCCTTACAGAGGAATGGTGAAAGGCAAGCAAAGGGCGCAGACTACCAAGGCTGCAGTGACTCAATCCTCCTCTCATCCCAATCCCTCACCAAAGCCCAACAGCACTGCTCCTGCTCAGCACCGCAGGGTGTGCTCTGCAGCTGAGTACACTGAGAGATGTGCTGCTTGTGGGCTGCTCACACTCGCCTGCTCTGTTACTGGGGATTGCTTAGAATTGTCCCTATGTAGAAACACAGCTGAACTGTCATACTAACAGGATCAAATCCAAATCCACGCTGATGCTTAGTTTCTTTATTTAGAAATATAATACACGTGTGGGAGACAAAGGAGTCCAGCTTTCTGGTGGCCAGAAGCAGCGCATTGCTATTGCCCGAGCTCTTGTACGGCAACCCCACATCCTGCTGCTGGATGAAGCCACCTCTGCACTGGATACAGAAAGCGAAAAGGTACGTTGGCTCTGCAAACTGGAACTGTGATTTGCAAGTTGGCTGGGTGACCTGTGGCTGGGATGTTGTCACCCATATGTTAAAGCTCCAACTGGTATATAGAAGAATTTTATGTTTGCATTTTTTTTTTCCTGTCTCCCCTGCCTATGTACCTGTAGAACCCTTCGTGTTATCTTTCACATCCATCGTCAAGTTCAGCTCCAACTGTGCCTTGGCTTTCCTATCTCTAAGCACAAGGATAACAGCCCCGTATTCCTCCCAGACTACTCATCCCTGCTTCTTCATTTCCCTCTTTTCTCTGTTTAAGCTGCAGGTCCTTGCCCAGCTATAACAGTCACCTACCTCCCTGGCTTAACTTCTGCTGGGGGATGGAGGGCTGTTGCCCTCTTTAAGGGGGTCCTTACAGAGCTGCCAGCCTTGTTCTGTGCCCATGCCCTTAAGGACAGTTTCCCAGGGGATCCCACTAAGCAGTTCATTGAGCAGCTGAAAGTTTGCTCTATCCATTTCCTAACAGAGAGGGCAACTCTGCCACCCCTCCTACCCAGTCTATCTCTTCTGAAAAGCCTGTAGTCCTCAAACAGGGTATTCCAGTCATGGGATTCATCCTACCACGTTTCTGTGATAGCAATTAGGTCATACTTTCCTAATTGTGCCCTGGTTTCTAACTCCTCATGTTTATTTCCCACGCTGTGTGCATTGGTATAGAGGCACTTCAGCTTAGCTACTGGCCTTGTTGCCTTCTCAGAGGAGCCCTCCCTAGCACCTCCAGGACAAGTCTGAGGTCTCACTGCCTCCCGATGTGACAATGTTCCCACACGCTTCTCTGTCACCTAGTACACCCCCTCCCACCATCATATCTAGTTTAAAGCCCTGCTAACCAGCCCAGCCAGCTTGTTTTCAAGAATATTGTGGCCCTTCTAGTCAGTTGGCTCCTGTCCGCTGTCAGTATTCCCCCTTTCTCAAGGCTCCAAGCCATTGTACCCAAAGCCTTGAGTGTGACACCATTCATTCAGTGTATTCACTCTCCTCCTTTTTTGCTGACCCCAGTCACCAACTGAGAGGCCAGAGGAGAACACAACTTGTGCTCCCAATCCCTTCAGAGGTCTTCCCAGTGCCCTGAACTCCTACCTGACTGTAAGACAGCAGATAATCTCCTACTGCTTGAGGAGCATCTCCCCCACACCCTTCCTGTAAGGATGGCAGAGTGCTACTCTACCAGTCAATCCCCTTCCCACAATCCTGGATGCTCCTCAGCCTTTCTACTTCCTCCTTTAGCTCTACCACCAGGCTGAGGAGATCATCCACCTGCTCACACTGCACACAGGAGGTATCCTGGCTGCCCTCCTGTAGCAGTGACAGGGCCAGGCACTCTCTGCAGCCTGAGACCTGAACTGCAGCATGGATAATCTTCCTGTTGGTTTGTTCATTGCACAGATTGTCCAGGAAGCACTGGATAAAGCCAGAGAAGGCCGCACCTGCATCATGATAGCTCACCGCCTGTCCACCATCCAGAATGCTGACAAGATTGCTGTGATCCAGAACGGCAAGATCATAGAGCAAGGGACTCATCAGCAGCTTCTGGCTGAAAAAGGCTTCTACTATTCACTGGTCAATGTTCAAAGTGGGCCTCGTGTTGTATGACAGTGGGCAGTGTCTGCTGAAGTGCAGGTGTACAGCTGGTTCATTATTTTGTGTGAAACTAGGTAGGGTATTTCTGTACTTCTAGTTTGTTAAAATTCTGTAAATAGCTTCCTTAAATTCCATGACTAATAAAAAAGTGTACCTCAGTTATTTAAGAACTTTACATTCTTTGACTGTTCTTCTATCAGTGCAAAAATTTATAGCTGCTCCAATTAAAGGTATGCTGTGATTATGAAAAGCACAGCTGATGGGCAAGTCTGCCAGCTACAGCTCTCATGGTGCAGACAGCCCATTCTGTCTCACAGGGCTCTGAGCAGAGCACTGCTGCCACACACTCCCCTATCTATAAAAATAGGGAGAAGGGCTGAGGACAGAGATATGTGAAGAGTACAGATGCTCTCCAGAGCAAAGGGAAACATAGATAGTGTCCAGATACATGGGAGGAAGCTCTTAAATAGGGTACTAGTGAATGAAGGGATGAAAACCAGTTATTACTGTTCAGGATTCAGGAGCTGTCTCTACAGGATCATGGTAACTACATGTTACAGCTCTCTACTCTCAGTGCCCTCCAGCCTGAGAACTATGGCAGGGAGACAAAGGCTGCTAGGCAGCCAGAACAATTTGAGAAAAGCAGGTTCCCCAAATAAAAGGAATAGCTCTTGGTCACACAGGAATGCATCAGCAGTCACAGGCAGAAGGCACCAATGTATTCCTTGTGCAAACTTCCAACCTTCATTAGATTTTTCCACCCTTCATCAGATTTTAGGCTGTATAAAATGTCTTTGTCCCTGTACCAACCTGAGCTACTTAGGGGCAAGGAGAGGGGATGCAGCTATTGCTGTAAAAAAATAATCACCCCTAATCTCTCCCCAAAATCGAGAAGAAAGCAAGGGGTACTTTAGAATCTCAGTTTCAAGTTCAGCATCAGTTCCCCAACAATACAACACTGATTTTTTTTGAATAACTTTATTTTTTAAGAGAAGTAAGATGAAAAACTGCTCAAACAGAGGAATCAAGTCTTAAAATCCCGAGAATCTCAAACTGTATTCAGTGCTCTCTGTTACTGTGTATTACTAGTGTAAAGCACAGGAAAATTCAAAGCTCAGTAGATGATGTAAACTCCAATGCATTTTGAATTCATATGCTATTTTCTGTATTACTGAGATTCAAAGTACTTCACATTGTAGTGCTCGTATATTATGAATGCAGTGGGAACATCCCTATACCGAGATGCATTCCTTTTATGCAATCCAGGTAGCAGAAACGAAAGAATTTAGAAAATAGCATATAGAAGGCTGCCCCCCTCAGGCTGCTTCATGAACCACTACCAACAGGCAGCACAATCACTTAAGACAATCGTGTAGTTGCTCTGAAGTACACAGTTAAGTGCTCCACTGGCAGAAACAGTACCATTAGACTACATGTTACCACTAAGACATAAATACAAATCTCCCAAAAGTTCTCCATTTCCAACACCGTGTTTCTCAAAAGTGTTTGCATTGTTGAGGCATATCATATTGCATAGTTCTACTGCTTGCATTGCTGTTGCAAATGGCCACATTACTTAGTGTAGATCCCACCAAAAGAGGAAGACTTCATGCAAATTATCAGAAGTCTTAGCTTGAATATAACAGTTCTCTTACACCGCGTTTCACTTATAAGTACTACAAATAACTTGTGAACTTGCAAAAGTTCTTATCATCATCAATTTTATAGCTGAGCTGTAACTGTTAACTGAATTATGTCCTGGAAACACTGGAATAAAGTTCTGCACAGCACTTCTGCACTGGTCTCTGGGCATGACTTCCAGGAAGAACATAAAACAACGATCCTGTCAATACAGAAAACAATGGAGTTACCACTCTTAATTGTCACAGTCTTGGACACGTTATACAAATTGTTCTGAAATATCAAATTATCAGCAAGCTCTGAATCAAAAACTGGCCAATAAACAAACAAGTTATCTCAACATCCAGAAAATACAGGGCCTTCAGTAATGACAATGTTTACAGATCCTGAAACAGGGTATTTTGATTTCTACACGCACAGTGACATCACTTTGCTTATATCTTAAAATGCTTCAATTATATTTCTTCTCTACAACTAGTTTAAGGTTAAAGTACTTTTTCTTTCTGTTTACCCACTACATCTCAACTTTTATCTATTTATTTTAACAGAGCAACAGTGAAAGTATATTGGTTTGTACGCTCAAACTGAACCCACTCTGCAATGAAATTTGCAGTTAGCTTTAGACACAAGCCATCCAAAATAAACTAAATCATAAAAAAGCAGGTCATCTCAATGCACTCCATTTACTTCATTTGCTGAACAAGCAGTAATTTTTGTCCAGAAGGTGAGTAAGCCAAAGTTGCATTTTTCCTACCCTTTCATGAGAAGTGAAGCCAAATGCGTTAGCTTCTCCTCCGTCCTCCATGCCCTCCTGTACTGCAGCTGTCTATCCCATATCCCAGGCAATAGCTACTTTTTTTTTTCTTTTTACAAACACCTTTGCAGTTGATGATGGCTAAGAGCAATGCTTATTTTTAAAGGTTCCTCCTGTTGTTCCTCTTCTTAGCTTTCCCACTCTTCGCTTTCTGTGCCTTGTCAGCATCTTGTCACTACACCTCCACCATCTGTCCTTCCTCCCACTTGTGTTTTTCAGAATGTTAATGCCTCTGTTCTCCCTTATCTCCCATTTCAACCTTTTCTGACATGTTCAGCCATGTCCATCTTTTCCTTCCCTCAGCTTAGTGTTTGCTGCCTTTCCCATCACGATACAGTCAGAACCACATCCAAAATGAAACAACATCCTTACCTGTCATCTCTGATTGCATAAAAAAAGCCATAGCCGTGATATACCATAGGGAGTGCACATCCACTAAATCTGGTGTAGCCGGTCAGACTAGTTGAAAGAACAAAGTTCCCACCTCCACCACTGTAAAACATCAGAAAACAAAAGTGAATTTTGTCACACAGATCAAGAGATCATCACACTTAAGGCCATGTAACAAAGTGAGCCCTCGGTACCAAGGGGTACAACCTCTTCACAGTACAAGGCCACCAGTTACCTGGCTGTGAAGGCAGGGTCCACAAAGAGTTCTGGCACTGGCAGTCCCTGCTCCTGTGCTATGAGAAGGAGACCCAGGAGATGACGGTCAAATCCTGTCAAAAGAAATGCAAGTTCTGCATCATTAACAGCAGCATTTCTTGGTTTTCGGCTGTTTCAGTTCTGGAAGCTTGAAAAGCAGCTGAAGGACAGATAAAATGACAGAGTCCAGTTGAAAAAAAAAGGTTCATACTGCAGCATACAAAAACACTTCTCAAAAGCATGGTCTAAGATGCCATCATCACTTTAAGCTTGCACCACTGAGCCCAAATGCAATGAGCTAAAAGTGGTACAAATTGAGCACATATCCTCCAGAAAACAAAACCCAAGAAAAATATTTCTGCAAGGAGGAGTTTCACATGAAATTGGCTCACTGGCAGAAAAATAGTGAATTAATATTTAAAGTGAACGGGTCATTAGGGCTGAAGGAAGATGCAAGGACTAGCCTTTAGTTTCTCTCCAAAATTGTTTAAATATGAAGTGTTGATGGGTAGTTTTTACTGCAGTTGAAAACGAGACAGAAAACACATTAGCATACGTTCCCTTTTTACCCACAAGGAAACAATTTCTGATCCCTGAGTACCTCGTCCATTCTCACAGTCTTTCCTCATTCTATTGTGCTTTGCAAATGCTGCATGCATCAGCTGTAGGCGTTCATAATTCTGTACAAAGTAAGGGGAAACAGGTTAAGAAACAAGAGAAGAAAACATTCCAGATGAGTAACACATCAGCAGACACAGATCAACAAGCTCTTCCTTTCACAATTTTTAGCAATAGAAGAAAACAGAGGAATTGAAAGGTACATAAGAACCTTCTGACTCATCCATTTTCTTAAATTTCTCTAATTCTTTTCTCCCACATCCAAATTCCTTTCTTATGACAACTTACTCATTTGTTCCCTGCATCTCTGCTCTGCTACCTGTGTCACTTTTGTACTGAACAATATTCTAAACCTCACGCTCTTCCCCATACAAGCTGAAACAATGCAAAGCAGACATCATGAACTACAGAAATGAAACCCAAAATTCTACAGTACCACTTACTTCGAAAACACATCAGCTGTTAGCAGGTTTGCCTATCATTATCAAAAAAACCCAACATGAAGCATATCTTACCTCTTTAATTGAAACACACACATTTGCCAACCGCATTCCCCTCTATTCTCTACTGATCAAAACTTCACTTCCACAACCGTAATTCTGCCCATCACTGTCTGATTTTTATGAATATGTTAAATTGAAACTTACACATTAAAAAGAGAGAGAACAGAATATAGATATATGTTTTGGTAAAAGAGGCCTAGGGAAACACCTGTAGACACCCATGAACTTGGCTTGCACTTCGATTGCTAGTACTTGAACAACTCCTTTGTCCTCATGAGTGGCAGCAGCACTGAACGTGAACCACAGCCAGCAGTCACTCAATTTGGACAAAAGCCTAGCTACTGAGCTCACTGCAGGTAGTAGAAAACATGGTGTAAATGGTTTTTTATCCAAAGTACATGAATTCTAAAGGGGGGGGGGGGGCTTTGCATTTTAATACTAGATTTCTGATCCTCTTAATTGCAATACCATTGAAGAGCATACCAAGACCGCAACAGTTCATTACACACACACAAAAAAAACACAACAGCACCAGGAAACAGAATCATCACAGAATAATTAAGGTAGGAAAACACCTCTAAGATCAAATCTAACTGGCAACCCATCATCACCATGCTCACTGAACAATGTCCCTCAGTGCAGCATCCCTGCATTTCTTCAATGCCACCTCCCTAAGGAAGCCTGTTTCACCACTCTTCCTGAGAATTTTTTCCTAATAACCAGCCTGAAAAACCTAAGACACATTTTTGGTCACACATACATTATTTCTGTTGTATTCCTGCATTTTTCCCAGTATGAAATAGTAGAAAAATATAGAATCTCAGAATTTCCTTCAAAATATGTAGCTCTTTGTTTCAAAATATCCTAGTTTCATTTCTAAGAACTCTAAGAAACACGGTGAGGACAACAGAGAGTTTTTGTACAACTTTCACTTGGC